AGGTCTTGAGATGAATCGCTAGCGACTTACAATTGCTGGGTTGGAGGGCACGATGGACTTTCACTGAATGTTCTTATATATTTTCGAAATATACGAAAGACCCGACCCGCATCCTTTACTGGGTAGGCAGCTGACGAGTATTTTTCAAGCAGCCAGTGCACCAGAATGTGGCGGGTGGGTTCGCCTAGCTGCGTGTGCGTGTTGTAGTTTTGCCACGCAGGAATTCTTGGTTCGTACTGGCTGACCAGCCTGAAACTCGGGTTTGCTAACACAGTAATAACGACCGAAAGATAAAAACAGGGTGAGGTTAGTGTTATGAGATGCAATAGTCACTAATGAAGTGAGAGTACTAAAGGACAGTAAAGTTGCAGGATTACTACAACATTAATAAGAGGATAACTACGATAATGACTACATCGCTATACGACGACTAAGCAGCCATGGACAGTGCCATGCCCACACCACCAGTGGCCGGCGCTGTGCGGCAGCTGGGAGAGGTATTGCTCTGGGCGCAGAACGGCAAAGAGTAACGCAGAGAGAGCACGTTACGATTGACCTGAGCCGTAGTCGCAAAGTCGCACTCGCCGTGGTCAGACCAGATTAATAAATAACGTGGGTATCCAGAGAAAGAGACAATCAACAAGCATGTACGAAGGCTGGTGCTTGACGACACGATTGTTGAACATCAATAAAGTCCCCAAAAAGGAGTGATGTCAATAATTGCCCGCTGGGTACGAATCAAGCGGCGTGAGGTGCAACAACGCTATGGCTGTCCTGAGAAGTTTGCACTGGTGGTTGTAAACTATAGGTGATTATACGATATATGGACCTGGGCCAGTAGGGCCATGGTGAAACAATATGCTTCGCCGAACAGCGGCCGCTACAGCTTTTATTGAGTATGAGGATGGTTACGTAAGCACCAGTAGTACTTCGGAGAGAACACCCATGGGCATGCTTCGTACCGCTCACCACACACCGCGAGCTCGACTAAGACATTATGAGTACCAACTGCAAGTTTCAAGAGTGCAACGCACTATAACAAGAGCCAACAAGGAACTGCGGCGCTACCAATGAATGTGGGCGGCAAACTAGGGACCGTGCTACCAGAAGTCCCCTCACTACCGCGCGGAGGAAGGGGTATGATTCAATGCACCTCGCAAGTCGACCACGACCCCTACCACGTATACTGTAGGGCACTCGCCGTTTGTCGGCCTGGGACCATGATTGCAGTTGCTCTGCCCTTTAGTTCCCGATGACAAAGCGGCGTCTATCTGAAACACTTAATGGGATAATCCTCGTGTGCATTAAAATGAAGGAACAGTAACTATTCTGGGGAATAGTTACTATATTCCATGCTCCACGAAAGATGTAACCGACGACGAGGTCGGTGACGACATGTCCGCAAGTGTGTGCACTTGTCGTGAGGAACTGCTGTATAGCGCCATGTAGTCTAAAGTTCTGTATGTTGATGAGTTCGCTCTGAAATGAAAACTACAGAATAAAAAATGGTGCAAAAGGGGTACTGTATGCCCCTGTGAATAAGGTTAGCCGGGTTGGGGCCTCTTTGCACCTTTGGTCCACCCCTTAGTTTGTGATGCAAAATCGTTGTTCATCTGAAACATTTGGTAGAATTAGCCTTGTAAATGTGCAAAGGAATAAAGGAATAGTAACTGTTTTAGGGAATAGTTAATATATTCTCATTCTTTCCTGTAATGATACCAAAAAAACATGTCGCCAAGAGGTATAAGCCAAGCAACGCAATGTATAGTGGGTAGACCTCTCAGTAATCGGTCGGAACCAACTGATTGACGGTTTGACTGCCTTCTTACTTTAGATTAAATCGATCAAATGATTCTATTGACACACGAGTTTTATATCCTCTACGCTAGCTGGTACGACGTTTCCATCTAAAAACCGATCTAACAGTAAACGAATGCCACAAATCACTTCCTTCCTGGTATCAAACTAGTCACATAGTGGCAAAACTCCATCTGATCCACAAAGGCGGCGACTGCCTTCGGTGGTGACGACTTGGAAAAGACTTCGAGGAGGCCGATTTAGGGACTCCAGAGAACCATAATGGCTAAACCAACAAATGTAGATTATGCTTGGGGCCGCACAACCAGTGAAGACGAGACAACCAAACATCCAAGTAAGTATGCTAGCTGGTCCGACTATTTATGATCTTAATATGAGACTATGAGCAAAAAATGTTGCAGAAGGTAGTTTGCTATATGCATCTAAAGCACCAAGACAGACCTTAAGTGACAAATTTTCTTTACCGCCTCCGTCTTCGATGTTTTGATCTCCGGATGTATTTTGGAGTACTGTGGTCTCCTACTTTGTAGAAAGGAAGATTTCCTTCGTTAGTGTAACGTGAAAAAGGAGATTATTGCAGTGTATAGCAAGTCGGAAACTTTCATGACACATATTGTGATTGTATCTATCAATCGGCTTGAGCTATGCATTGAACTGTTGGTGTTGGTTAAACACTGGCGATCTCTGAATATATTCTTTCTTGATAAGCTTGCACGAGGTTGATAAATATATTTATTTTCGGCTAACGTTTCGACGTCTTCGTCTTCCTCAGAGCCGATGATCCGAGTCGATGGTCCATGCTTGTTGTTCGTCTCGACGTTGCAGCTTCGCCTTCGTGTCGAGCCAGGTCTTCCTCAGTGAGCCATCTTCTCGAATGAGGCATCCTTACTCAGTGATGCCCTTTTATACACGATGCTGATGGTGTATGTGCTGTACAGCAGGTGAATTCTTTCCCCTGCCGGGGTCTCCCAGGCTGAGAAGGAATCCGGCGTTTCCATCAGGAAACCTAGCTAAGAATAAACCAATACCAGGATCCACCACCAGTCAGGTATCAAACTGCTCGCATGGTGGCATATCTCGCTCTTATCCACAAGGGCGGCGATTGCATGTGGTAGTGACGACTTGGGGAGACTTTGACCAGGCTGACCTCGGGACTCCATGGAACTACAATGAGTACGCCAGGAAAACTTCGAAAAATGGTAATTATAATGAAGCCCACACAACTAGGGAAAATGGGCCATGCAAGTATCCAATCAAGGAAGTTACTTCATTTTAAACGCTACGGTTATTTTCTAACTTATTATTTACTGCCTACTCTTTAATGGCAGACTATTTTGCGAAATATAGCTTCAATAATGCTGAGATGTTTGCAAAACTCCGGAGCGCAGGCGTCTGGGGTGGGAACGAACGCGCTATTACCCTATCCAGGGGCTGACGCGTTCGCCACCACAACATACAGGTCCTTCGATTAGCCTGTCTCTCAGCTAGTTCTATCGACCAGTGCCATCACCAATCACTCGCCAGCGAAATTGATCGGTGGAGCCCAAATCGGCAATGAACCCAGTTAAGCTGAGGCTGTAGTTATAACTTAAATGATGCTGAGATATTTGCAAAACTCCGGACCGCAGATATATGCGGCGGGGAACGAACGCGGTATTGTCCTTTCCAAGCAAACAGACAGAAAGAGCTGAGAAAGGACAATAGCGCGTTCGCTTCCTACCACATACACCAGCAGTCCGGAGTTTTGCAAATATCTCAGCAACACTTAAGTATAATTCGGAATATACCCTGCCATAAAAAAGTAGGCAGAAAATAACAAGTTAAAATTATGATTATAACTACGGCCTCAACTTAACTGGGTTCGTTGCCGATTTGCGCTCCACAGATCAATCGCGCCAACGGGTGATTGCTGTGGCAAAGAGCGATAGAACTAGCTGAGAGACGGGCGAAACGAATGACCCGCATGGTGTGGTAATGAACGCGTTACTCCCCGGAAAGGATAATAGCGCGTTCGTTCCCCACCATAGACACCTGCGGTCCAGAGTTTTGCAAATATCTCAGCAACGTTGTGGTTGTATTTCGCTTAGTAACCTGCCATGAAAATTATAGAAGGCAGAAAACAAAACGTTAAACATTACTACTTATACTTGGCGTGTTGACAAATGCTCATTTCGAAGCCGGCAACTCGCGAAAAGCATGCTGATTAGTAGACTAATCAATAATGTTGTCAAAGCATAGTTTGGACCAAATGAAGAAGAATCAATAGACAAGACATCAAAAATAAGAATTGATGGCAGTACCTAATAAGTAGTGCTACCGACGGAAAAGCGTTCATACCGTGCCGCTTGCGGAAAATGAGCTCTGCGAAGCCTCATTCACCGCACGCGACGTCGCTATGTCGCTTCCGCGACTTTTGGCGACAGAGTTAAAAGCGCTTTACTTTCGACGGGTGAAAGCAGGTATCACTCATTGTATCTCCGCAATTGTGTCGGTCGATGACAACATTTTCGCTTCTTGGATGATGACTTGTCGACGAAAACAGCTCCATGAGAAAACTTATCTTCTTGAAGACTAGACATTTTTGAGTTTGTATGCAATCGGACACATTAGGATTTTGTTTGGTCATCAGAGGTATTGCTTGTTGGATTTCTTAATGAAAAGGGAAAAGACGAACAAAACCACCAGGATGCTGAGATATGAGCAAAACATAGAACCTCAGTCAGATAGGCTTCGAACCCTCTTAAAAGCAACAGTCTCTGGTCTTCTCGTCTTCCAGCTGGTCATATTGTGAGCAAGACATAAAATTCTCGTCATTCAACTGAATAGACGTGATAGAAACACTTTCCTTCGTTTGCCCTACGTGGGTAAATAAGCACATTTCCACAGCATTTTCATCAGGGCAGAGAACCCATGCGGTGGACGAGTTTCTTCGTCATCCTTGACGGTTGGTCCGGAAGCGATCATTGCGACCGTATGCAACCGATCACTCGACCAAAATCATATTTCCTACTTCATAGGAATTAGGATGCTTTCTGGATGTTTCTCGGATCTTTTATAGTAAATTTGGAGAATAGGCGTATGATTCCTTGCACAATGTCGATATTGTGTTCGGAGCGTGATTACAAAGCTTTGTATTTAACATAAATGAGGTTGTTTATTCTCGAATTTACTTACGTCGTTAGATGGCCAGGTATGTCATTGAAATGTTCGTATGTCGAGCACCTATTTTATATTGATTTGTTGATAATACTTATAGTTCGAACATGGTGAAGGAATTCAGTCCAAGAGGTGGAGGTGGAGGTTTGTTTTTTTAACCGAAATCTCTGGTTCTATTTAAACCTTTCCTTAAAGTTGTCTACGTCTTGTAGTATTGTTGAGTTCTGTTTGTATTACCGTTTGTCCATCGAGAATAGTGTGCCCAACATAACTCATTGTTCTGTAAAACTTTGTCATAAAAGCAGTGTTATATTTTTCATCCACGTGAAGTTAGAGCTTTGTGTAGTAGCTGGGGTAGTATAATTTAAGAGCTATTGCTACATTTACTTCAGGTGTATATTGCTGTAAAGACGTTACGTAGTCAAGTTAATATGCTTAGGATTTCGTGGTGGCGGAGGGTTCAGAGGAGGAGATCAGAAAGGTGGAAGTTTTCGAGGTAGAGGCGGTGGAGACCGTAGTGGGTTTCGTGGTGGACGAGGTGGATTTGGTGGTGACCGAGGATTTCGCGGTGGACGAGGTGGATTTGGAGGCGATCGTGGAAGGTAATTGACATTCTCGATTAGCTGAGTTAGCTAGTTTGCACCTTGCTGTATAGTATCGCAAATTTCGTTTTTTTTTTCATTGTCCACCGCTGTTACACACTCAGGGGGTCGCCTCGTGGTGGTCGTGGAAGCCCTCGTGGTCGCGGACCTCGCGGTGGAAGAGGTGGTGGTTTGCGTGGAGGGAAGACTGTTGTAATCGAACCTCATCGGTATGAAGGTTAGTGGGCAACTTTATCAAACACGCGCTGGTAAGCCGTCATTCCTCAAGATAGCTTTTCCTTTTATTCACTTTGATCATTATGTGAGCATGTGGGGTGCTCCGTTGTTGGGTTGCAAGATTAGTAAGAGGTGCTGATGCAGATACGTTGATCATGCAGTGATATATAAAGGGACCTTGATAAACCTATCTTATGTACTTGAAATTGCTTTGATAACAAGGAATTCCAAGTCAGAATATAGTGAAAGGTATGGGTACGGTCATTAACTCAATGTTATTTTAAAACTCAAATATTTTTCTTCTTAAAAGAAGTGTAGAGCTTTCTATCCTAATTTAGCTCTGGGAAGTCAATGGTTCATGTAACAAGCCTTTCGTAGTAATGTAATGGTTGTTCATTTTGCTTCACACTGTATTTTTCAATCTCAGAAAGAAAACATGAATACCACATTGACGTGGTTTTCATCCACAGTGGTGTAATACCACTTTGGTTGACTACTACTTTTTCTTAGAAAGAACCTGCCATCCAGTCATAGTATTGTTCTAAGTTGACAATTCATTGTGTTGCAATTCAATAATCACAAACAATTCATAGAACCATCTTCGCAAGATGTCGAAAATCTTTTAGTCATTGGTTAACCTCATTTCTCTTTCGGGCAACAAAGTCTGGCAAGTTGTATCTTCTTTTATTTGACAAAAATTTGGCTTTCCTGGAGCTTATTAAAAGAATTTTTTCTTTTTCTTCATGGTTCGTTTTTCGAATAACTAGGTGTTGGAGTAGTCGCAATTTTGTATCACGTCACACAGTTATATCTCTCAGTCTGTGGTAAGTATTTCTCTCTCCCACAACCATGTTAGAAGGTTTAAGGACTCAGATCTTGTTTTAATTTTTTGGAATTTTACTTTCAAACAATTTCTGAGAGTGAAAGGGTTTACAAAAACTTATGCGAATGCACATATTTATACATATTTATGTAACAAATAAAGCAATGATCTTATCAAGTTCCAAACTCCACTACAAATGTGATTGAGAAGTTGTGGATAATTATCATGAAAGGCTGCATAATCCGTCAGCTCCGTAAAGATATGATTTTTGCGCAGAGGGTGGAGAGCACGGCCCAAATCTACGGTGTTTATCAATATCGCTGATAGCAGCGTAATATTCGACGGTATTTCTTGGGTTGTAGTCTATAACTCACCGCTTTGTTAAGCAGTTTGAGTAGAGCTGGGTTCTTATCTGGGTTATTCCACCGAGGTTATTTACCCCCTACCTCACTGCACTGTGCTACAGTCCCCTAACCATGGTTATTTTCTTTTGTAGAAATAAGTAAAATTTTTCCAGGAGTATTCATTGTCAAGGGTAAAGAAGATGCTCTTGCAACGAAAAATATGGTTATTGGTGAATCTGTTTACGGAGAGAAGCGAGTTTCTGTTGACGATGGTTCGGGGAACTCAATCGAGTATCGGGTTTGGAATCCTTTCCGTTCAAAACTGGCTGCTTCGATGATGGCGGGCTTAGAGAATGTACATGTGAAACCGGGTACGAAGTTACTGTATCTAGGCGCAGCCTCTGGCACCACAGTGTCTCATTGTTCCGACATTGTTGGACCGGTTAGCCAATATTATTACGACTTTTGTTCGATTTTTTTTTCAATATACCATGTCGTATAGCAAATGCGTTCTTCCTTGATTATCCTAAAACGTTCTTAAGGACGGTATTGTATATGCTGTTGAATTTTCTCATCGCTCTGGTCGTGATTTGCTCAATGTTGCAAAGAAGAGACCTAACATTGTCCCTATTGTCGAAGACGCTCGTCATCCGCATAAATACCGCATGCTCATTGGTAGGTCTTTGCTTCTATAATAACTGTTAGCTTCTTTAGGATTATGTATTTCAAAAAGTTTGTTTTTAATATTTATTCAGTTGTAAGCGTTTGAGTAATGGTGAGCTGTTAGTTGAGCTGAGTCAAGAGAAAAAAGGGAGGTTTTAGTCAAAGAAGATTTCACCGTTGTTTACAGAAACATTTCGTAGCGTTGACAACAGAGTAACGATTTCCTCCCTATGTAGAAAGCGTTGGGTTTCATTAAGTAGTTGGTCATCGATGTGATTTATCGTGTTCCTTGTTTGGAAGCAACTTTCAATCCATACTCGTAATTATCTGAAGCCTTCACAACTTATCATGTTACTGTTTCACATAAATGGAGTAGGTGAGGGGGGGACCGTGGTTGTGCTGAGGGAGATCGAATTAAACACCATGCCATTGGTACGGGAGGAAACTTCATACTTTTCGATCACAATCAGGTGAATCATGTGTTAGTGTACCAATGCATGGTTCAGTCGTCCACTTAGATTAGACGAGCGGGTAATATCGAGATACTCACCAAGTCACAATAGTAACCCGTCTTCGAATGACTTGGGGAACGTCCATCATTTCTTTCATTATTTCGTAACCACAAAGTGCAAAGTAGTTCATTTGCTGCAAGAAATTGTTTTTGAGGACTTAGGTGTTCTATCCTCACTGAAGTACTGAAATATTTCCTTACTGAACGTAGTTTTCTCTTGAATCACGAAATAACACAACTACAGCGTTCCTAGGTTGGGTCGCAGGATCATCACAGGTTCTAGTCTGCTCCTCTGAATCGGCACCTTCCAGAAACCACTAGATGGCTTTAACTCATTAGCTACGGTATCCAATGCATTATCCACTGGAACACGAAGGAAGAGATGTGAAGGCCCAATACAATTAAAGGACTATAAGAATATTTATTTCATTAACTACAATATAGGCGCATAATTGTTATTCATACAATCAGCAATGATCAATGAAAAATCGGAAAATAACGTTAGTTTCATAGTGTCTGTCACGGAGTCGTCGACCCAGATTAGGTGCGGGTAGCTGCAGAAGATCCTCCATGCACCCAGAAAACATTTGGTGACTAAATGGAAGAGGAGTCATATATCTAAACTATGGGAAAGAAAGTTTATAAGAACTGCTGAAAGGGAAATTTGAAGTCTACTATCTCCCTTGGCAGCAACATTTCATATTGTCCTCCTATATCTCTATATTCTTCATAATCTTCTGGAGTAGTATGTTGACACTCAACTCTGTTGAATGGTGAACGTGTTTAGTATCTCATAGTTTGCATGCAGAAGTGGTAGAAAAATAACGGAAAAGTTATGAAGTACTAACGGAATGAAAGCGGTGTAAGAAAACCACTTACCTTTTCGCTTTGTGCTGTGAAAGGTTGTAGATCACGTGAAATGTTGGTGGATGACTCACTAGAAATGGAAAAAACAACATTTGGACATATTTATGCAAAAACAAACAGCGTATGGTAGCGGCAACATCTACCCACCAAAAATTAACAAATTGTTACTGTAATGAAATACAACGTCTAGCAAATATTTAGCAACTAGAAAATGGAAGGGTAAAGTAGATAGTAAGTGTAACAACAAAGTAACCCATTTATACAAATGTGCTAATTCCTCAAAGCTTCAAATTTTTTTTGCTAATTAGAAAGGTATTGGGGAATGCAGAAAAACATCGTAAAATAGAAAAACTACGGAGTCTATTTTTGAGGCATAGAATGTTCAATTTTCAATCAGCAAACCATTGCTATTCCGTTTAGTGTCAATATGTGTCTTTAATGGCGTATGGACTGTGTAAATGTCGTAGCCATAAAAGAATTGCGAAATAAACTCGACTTTTCTGACAAGAAGAAAGGCCACATGCCGAGAATAATTCGGTGGCGTGATTGGTGATCGCAATACACAGTAAATAGTATAGACATGCAAAAAATATAGGAAATTCAGTTCGAGATAATAGCTAGACAAAAAAAAAGAAATTGTTAGGTTTGAAGCCTTTAAATCTCTTAGCTAACAAGAACAGATAATGCAGCACCGGAAAATCAGCGTGGTAGCAGTTACTGATTAGCATTGCAACGAGAAATGGATGAATTTAGCAGTTTTGTACCGTCAACGAAAGCTTGGTCTTATTCGATTCGAGAGGATACATTGAAAAATGGCCGGGTGGAATGGGTTAGCAATCTTGGGTATCCTTTTCATGTACAAAAGTCTTTGTTTCGTGCTAGGTTCAACGTCTTGTCGACAATACAAAGTACATGTTATTCGTTCCTTCCAAGGAAAACTTGTCAACGTGAATCACATATGATCCATTTCCTTCTCGTCTATTTATATTACGGCGCAGACTTTTTTCCCAGACTTTTAAAATTCATTGAGTAGCTTGCCAAGTCTAGATGTTGGGGTAATTATCAGTCGAAGGAAGCTAGATTCCACATTCTTAAAAGTGTGTTTGTAAAGCTGCAGTAGTTAGTGATGAAGTCATCAGGAATCAAAATGCTGTTTAACGAGCTTTGGCAGGATTGAGTAACATGCGACATCATGTGTGCGACACGACATCATGTAATAAACATGCCGTCCCGCGCGTCTTCTACACAAAATTTCCAACTCTAAGGTGTTAATGTGTACTCTTTCCTCTTAGCACGAAGATTACAACTCAGTAGAGCAAGATATTCCGTCCTGAGCTCAGTAGTGTGATTGCGTATTTCTAGAGGCATCATAGGTTCCAGCGTCTGTTATGCTCAAATAATGTTAGCTACAAAAATTTCAGAATATATGACATACGTTGTGGAATTGACCACGAAAGTCTCTCAGCAACATGCTTGAGTGATAAACAAGGTTGTAATCACAGAAAAACATAAAGTGCTACGTACAGGAAAGACGAAGAAGATAAACATGTTTAGATGAGAGATACACAAGATCTAGCCCGTGGTCCTAGTTTTGCAAATATCCCAGCATCGTTGTGCTTATATTCCACATCACACCCTGTCGTGAAGATTTATGGTAGACAAGAAAGAAAAGGTTAATATAAACGTGTTTATTTTTAAGGCGAGAGATGACGATAAATATGCTTTGAGTACGATGCACACTGTGCTTGTTGGAAACTTGACTAGTCCCAAGCGCCTTCCATCAGAACTAGACACCACGAATCTGTTAAAATATGAAGGAGGTTGTGAAATAGGATTGATGCTAACTGTGCGTATTTAGGTATGGTGGACACAATATTCTCCGACGTTGCTCAGCCGGATCAAGCTCGAATTGTTGCCTTAAATGCCCATAATTTCCTGAAAAATGGTGGTCACGCAGTAATTTCAATCAAAGCAAACTGCATTGATAGTACGGCGGAACCCGAAGCGGTATTCGCTGGTGAAGTAAACAAGTTGAAAGAGGAGAAGTTCAAACCAAGGGAGCAGGTAACACTAGAACCCTACGAAAGAGATCATGCTGTTGTTGTTGCTGAGTACCGACCAAAAGGTAAACCTAAATAAAGCGTTTTGTTATTGTCGCACTTTGAACACTTTTTCTCCATACCTAATCTTGTCTGTGTTTCCATTGTTACCAATTGTTTGGATAATTGTTGAGTTTGACTGCAGAATAAATACTTGTTTCCGAATGGTTGAACTTCTTTGGGTGACTGCCAACGAATATTTTCGATCATAACTCCCTTCAGATTTCGACCACAGGATTTCTTTTTTGGACTAGGTCAATATGAGGCAGGAGCCAATCCAGGCTGTTCAAACCTTCGGTCGCAAGAAGACTGCCACCGCTATCGCGCATTGTAAGAAAGGACGGGGTCTCATAAAAGTGAATGGTCGGCCTTTGGAACACATTGAGCCGCAAATTCTTCGTATAAAACTGCAGGTGTGCTTTATTTTTATGTTTATCTGCACAGTAAACTGCACATAGGACTTGTGTTGCTTATCTCTTTTTTGTCTGGCTAAAGTCAGCTTTCTTTTTCCCGACTTAAATATTTACAAAAGTAAATGATTGGAACATCTTTCAGTAACTCCCACGACCGACTTTCTATTAACCTCGGCATTGATCAAGTAATTCTTCGTATTTTTTGTTGAGCAAACGCGAGGTGTTATTATTCTTTATTCACGAATGAGCTGACGTTTCGGCGGATTTCGCCTTCCTCAGAGCCTGGAAACGTCAAGTTGTTAGCAACTCACTCGGCCAGACGCCTCCATAACCAAACAAGGAAACTCCAAACCAAGATTTCAATCACTTTGAACACAGCTTTGCAAACTCACCGCTTCCTATGAGGTTTCCACTAAGTATGTCACGTAGAGACCAACCGCACAGAAATCACATGGAAGTATAATGTGCCCCACTCATCAGAATAGCAGTCTTATATACTGCCCTACATCACGCGTGATAATGAGGCATTCTTCCCTGCGGTCCATTTTCGGATTTCTGAAATTAATCCAGAGTGCCTGGAGAGTTTTTCGCGCCTGTGTTTTTGATTCGCGTGCAAGGATCGTGACACATACTTCAAAGTCCTCCCCGTTATGTCTCTGGGTCCTGTGCGTGCCTAGCGGAGTATTTGGTCTATGTTTGCCGGCTAGGTGTTCTTTTATGCGGACACAGAGGGGTCTGCCCGTTTCGCCAATGTATTCGTCACCGCACGTCTTACAGGAGATCAGATAAACTATACCCGAGCTCATGCAATCACCGTCTCTACCACTGGGGCAAATTATGCAGTTTTGAGTTGCACATAGACGGTCATATAGTCGGTTACGGACTAGCTGGCGCTTAAGATTACTCGGTGGTATTTCAACTACGCGTACCGAATTCTGTAAACCCGCCCTTCTTAAGCAGCGTTTTATAGCTGTACTTATATCATTTGAGATAAAGGGTAGGATAAAGGACCCTTCTATCGCTAGAGTTGTTGTCTGGAGGCCTAGGATTTCCCCTACACCTATCCTGAGCTACAGTTTTGTAGCCATTAGAAATGGCTATTTGCCGTGCCAAGTTTCGGGATTCCTCTCTCTGTTCTCTTCCCGTACACACGTTGGTTGCCGTTCGAAACATGTTTCTTATAAGCGCCCTTTTCGTGTGAGAGGACTTTTGTCCTTTGCTCAACACAGGAGGAAATGGACAAATGCTTTGAGTTGTTAAACACACAGTCAGAGTACATCAAGTTCACCCGAGAAAAACCGAAAGAAAAATGGCTTCCATTTCTGAACGTGCAAATTCACCTGTCGGAGAATGGCTACATGACAAAATGGTACCGAAAGCCAAGTAGTAAAAACATTTTGGTTCATTACCTCTCCTTTCACCCCTCTCACACGAAAAGGGCGCTTGTAAGAAACATGTTTTGAACAGCAGTCAACGTGTGCACGAGAAGAGAGCAGAGAGAGGANTTTGTCCTTTGCTCAACACAGGAGGAAATGGACAAATGCTTTGAGTTGTTAAACACACAGTCAGAGTACATCAAGTTCACCCGAGAAAAACCGAAAGAAAAATGGCTTCCATTCCTGAACGTGCAAATTCACCTATCGGAGAATGGCTACATTACAAAATGGTACCGAAAGCCAAGTAGTAAAAACATTTTGGTTCATTACCTCTCCTTTCACCCCTCTCACACGAAAAGGGCGCTTGTAAGAAACATGTTTTGAACAGCAGTCAACGTGTGCACGAGAAGAGAGCAGAGAGAGGAGTCCCGGAACTTGGCACGGCAAATAGCCATTTCTAATGACTACGAAACTGTAGCTGTGGATAAGTGTAGAGGAAATCCTAGGTCCCCCACGACAACTTTAGCGATAGAAAGGTCCCGCTTATCCTACCGTTCATCTCAAATAATGTAAGTGCAGCTACAAAACACAGGCGCGAAAAACTCTCGAGGCACTCTGGATTAATTTCAGAAATCCGAAAATGAACCGCAGAGAAGAATGCCTCATTATCACGCGTGATGTAGGGCAGTATATCAGACTGCTATTCTGATGAGTGGGGCACATTATACTTCCATGTGATTTCTGTGCGGTTGGTCTCTACGTGACATACTTAGTGGAAACCTCATAGAAAGCGGTGAGTGTGCAAAACTGTGTTCAATGTGATTGAAATCTTGGTTTAGAGTTTCTTTGTTTGGTTATGGAGGCGTCTGGCCAAGTAGATTGCTGTCAACTTGACCTTTCCAGGCTCTGAGGAAGGCGAAATCTGCCGAAACGTCAGCTCATTCGTGAATAAAGAATAATAACACCTCGCGTTTGCTCTGCAAAAATACGAAGAATTAAATGATTGGAATTTTCCGTGGCCGTACGAAATTTGTTAATTAACCAAGAAGTAAGATATATTTCAATCATAGAATTGCGTGAGGGTGTGGACGATACAGCAAAGTGATTTGTGTGAAATCTCCGTCCAAGTTTAATTCCACGGACACTTTTCTCAATAGGTTTTCACAGTTCCACGTAGTTTCTACTTTGTGTTATTCAATTCCATGGGTTAAAAGTCAGTTCTAGAGTTCAGTGTAGAAACAGTGCCTTTGAAAGTATTTTGAATGGTATTTGTGCTTGGTTTTTTGATAAGTGGCTTGACTTTCTGCCATCAAAAATACATTTTTCGCAATGTTTTTCTTTCTCGTGTTGCATTTTCCTGTCTGCAGTGGTGAATTTTCACTACTATGTTTTCTGCAGGAACCTCTGTTAGTGGTAGGCAAAGAGCGCTTCCAAGATGTTGACATTCGAATTCGCGTAAGCGGAGGAGGTCATGTTGCTCAGATTTATGCTGTAAGGCAGGCACTTGCGAAGGCTTTGGTTAGTCATGTATTTTTTTTGAAGCTCTAGTGATCATATATTTTATTTTATATAAGACAGCACATAATTGTGCTTTAGGTTGCCTATTACCACAAGTATGTTGATGAGCAGAGCAAGAAGGAGCTCAAGGATCAGTTTTTTGCGTACGATAAGTCCCTTCTGGTCGCAGATCCTCGTCGCACTGAAGCCAAAAAGTTTGGTGGGCCAGGAGCGCGTGCACGCTACCAAAAGTCCTATCGTTAAATGTTTTGTTGTTTATAAAGTGTTGCTTAAATTTGTTGTTCTGGTTTGTAAGCACTCCATGACATCGCCTTCTCACTGTTTCACGTTGAGTGGAGAAATGTAACATGCAGTTTATGTGGTACAAATAAGTATGGCTGGTTTTGAATTATTCAAATGTCATGAACAGCAACATGACATTAACTCGCAGAGTTCCTCATATGTGTCACCTATCGTACCGTTGGTCGAGTGACTAGAGCGGACCACAGTGAACTTTCCAATTCGTATGCAAAGTAACTCCGTGGGTTCTGCTTGCTCAAGAGACTCACTGAGCTTCGCATCTTCCTTTCAGGATTTTCGCGAAGAACTCTGACGACCAGATGCCAGCTCTTCGTGCCATACGTTTGACGTCCCAAGGAATCAAGTCAATAATTGTTCTTCCCGTCGGTTGTTGGCGTTACATTTGGCAATATGCATTACATTCGGGTCCATCTTATTTTCGACAATTTGGCACGTCTTTGATTCCTGATCATTGACAGAGGTTATAGCTTCGAATCTCCTCTCTCATATACGTGTTACGCGGAACTGCCACTGTCCTTGCGACTACGCGTTCCACAACGCTCAGCGATCTTCCGTCCTACCTACGTATCAACAAGGTTCCTGGCGTACACCTGCATCCTCCATGCTCTTGAGAGCACTTCAAACCGCTTGTTTCCCCCTGTATTGCGGCGGTGAGATCCCAACTTTATATGAATACCAAGTTGTAGATATTAGTCCTTGTAGCTGCCACGCGAGACTTTTTTCGTAACTGTCGTGAACAACCTCGAGTTTGTTACAATAATTTATAGCAATAACAACTGTACAATAATAATATCTGGTATATGGAGATATGTGGTTAAGTGGGTATATACGAGCAAGATTGAAATGAGAACAAGCGATGCAGTTGAAGGAAGTTAGGTGGACACTGGAGCTGGAGCACTGAGAAACTGTGAGATTGGATGAACACCGGACGAACGCTATGAACGCTTGAAGACGAATGCCCCCGGGGTGCTTGTATTCCTTCTGTAGTGAGTGGAGCCTTGCCAGAGGGAACTAAAGACAGTGCCTAGAGAGAGGTTCTAAAGGTTTTTTCTACTAGCACAATCTAATAGGGTTACATGTGAAAGGGCGTGGCTGTTGTTCGGAAACTTCCTTAGAACGGCAGATGCTGGAAAGTACAAGTACACTCAGCTGACTACTGTTGATTAAGTGCCCGAACTGCCGGACAAAGAAGAGCCGTTTATTGAAAGAAGTTGTGGATTCCCCTTCCAGCCACCTGCGAGGCAACTGAATGAGATAGCGGCTAAGAAGCAATTAAGGTAAGATGCGAAGGTAGATTTAAGATAGCCACAGGTGAACAAGAAACACACACCAATACAGAAAATTAGGAATAAGGTCACCGGAAGCAGTATTTTAGACGCTTTACATAGACAACATTCCAATGTTCGTGAAGAATGTTCTCTACACTCTGCTCAACTCTGGAGTTAAGTCGTTAATAATGTTGATTTCCAGACCTGATACACATAGCTCGAGCATCAGGAAATATTCGTTATGCGGATGGGACACACGAACGCTGTCCATTCCTCATGAAGACCGTTTTATGGGATTCAGTCGAAGACCAATCTTTGCACAAGTGTAATCAAAGTTGGCAAGGATTCCTTCTGCTTGGCTATTGTTTGATGTTATAAGAATGATATCATCAGAACATGAAAGATGGTTTAATTGCCCACCCACATGTTGTTTGCATGATTACAACGTTCGCATGACGTTTTAGAAGCCGACGGTGAATAATTTTGACAAGATAATATCGTCTTGTTGAACCCCTTTGTGTTGATGTCAATATCGTTATTGAGTCAAAGGGCTTCCTTAAATCTATGAAAGCAAGAGTATCATGTGAAGAGCAGAGCCAGTATGCTGTTGAGGATTGGCGGAAGTTTCAGCAAGTATTCAGCTCTTGTCTTGTCCTGCCCAAGCGTTCGATTTTTTACCGACGAAATATTACACAGGATTTCGTGAGGGAAAACTTGAGAACTTGTGGGGCGACAATTCCATCCTCCTTTATTTCATATAAGGGCTGGGTGATGTGACTATTGAAGAGATTCGAGTAGTAATCGTCAACAGTTTTCCTCATTGTCTTGCTGCAATGTGTAAGTGTTCGTTCTGGGTGTCAGAATCATCTTAGCCTTGTAAATGGCGATTTTTCGGTGTTTTGTGAATGCTTTTCCCAGCCTCTGCAGCGTTGACCATAACTGCTCCCCTCTTCCCATTAAGATCTTTTTTACCGCCTTTTTGTGTTATTTTGCAAGTTGTGGTTGCCTATAGCTAGTGCACATTAGCTTATCAATTTGAGTGTTTCTGGATACAGGTGTCCCTTGGTAACTATTGAGCTCCAACTTTTATAGTCCCGATATGAAAATGTCGAATAACACTATCGTAATCGTCGTCGATGTTATCAATAATAGCGTTTTAGCAAAAGCCGGCTAATGATCTGAATAAGTTTATTTTGGTTCTGGGATTTAGATGTTTTGAACTTAGCTGCTTTATCTCCTTACTGCGAAAAATGGAATACTGCGCAAAAGAGACGATGGTCCAATCCCGTGTCAAATTTTTGAGATATCAGTTACTCAAAACTTTTGATTTGCTATGCTGTTGTCTAATTCGTCATTTTCTTTATTGCGGAACTCCCGCGTCGAGCACTGAAAATATGGTATCTGGAATTGTAACCTACGATGGTCCGCGCTGTTGTGGTAAACTTAAACAACTGCTCACCTTACTCGTTCCTTCCTAGTCCGTACGTACCAATGTGGCATTCTTCAGACGTTCTTGTGGATCCATTCTTAGCAATAAAATCTCCAATGATAACCTTAGACAATGTATGGTCTTCTCTGTAGAACTTCACCAAGTCCACATAGAACACTTCCACTTCGTCTTCGTCATACCTTGGTGCTGTTGCGTAGACAATCGCAAAGTCCTGTTCGGGTTATTGGTTGCTCAAAGAGGTCCACGTTCATTGCTAAACTCACATTGAAAAGAACGCTGCCACCGCCGACTCCTGTATTGTTGCCTGTTCCGAGGGACAGTTTTTCCCTGGTGTCGTAGACGGAGTTGACTGGGTGGCGTGTTCACATCTTAACCAGTTCGAAGACGATGTCCCTTATCTATTTTTCTTGCGCGAATGTTTAGGCAGCCTAAAATGACCCTAAAATTTTAGCATCCTCTTCGTACTCGTCCTACCCAACGCTGCCACATCGGGAGCTCTTTCGGAGTGAGAGGAATAACATGCACCTACTTTACTGTGTTTAGCATTTGATGTCCACGTATATCTTCGTAAGCTTTGAGCATGGGGGCTGAGTATACTCACAGGTAGGTTGCCAATCGCTCCCAGAGTAGAAAACGGGCCTATTTGTTGGAGGTGACTCCTAGCTGCCTCCCATGTACTTCACAGTCACTTTATTGCAGCGTTTTGGCCGAAATGACTCGTAGAATATAATCCTCACAAACGAGAACACACTCATGCATGCATGCATGAATATGTCCTCGGAAACACGCAAGGTAAGTGTGAAATGTGTGCAGCGCAGCGGAAACAAGAAGTCCATTCGCTGAATCCGCCTGCTCCTTATGGAATCATAAGATCACTTTTTGTCTGCGACTGACCGCATATCTGCCACCAGGGGACGCGTCACCTTGCTCAGCGACTAGGCGGCAAAGATTTCTCTGCAAAGGCGGTACGTGACAGGGTCCCTCATCTTACAAAATCTAATAATGTCGACAATAACCTTCCTTATAAAGAAGCGATCAAATGTAGGTAATAAATGTACAGTTAGAGGGCACATTATGTAAAACTGTCGCTCATAAACACTTCCTTTCTGGGCGCATAATCCTGTTTTTGGGGTAAAGATAACGCACTGGTAGTGATACCTTCCAGTACGCGTTAGGCCCTGGTTCGAGTTGAAGGCGTGGCAGAGTCGCATCGTCGTACGGGGTGGAGAAATTGGTGCCACATTCGTCTGCAGTGAACTAGAGACTGATTGGCGAACTACACATGTTCTAGCATGGCTATCCCAGGACTGCATGGAGGATTGAGCACCAGAATTAAACGATGATCACAAAAAAGCCAGAGGTCCTCAAGCAGCAGCTGAGTCGATGGATACGAGGATCGAATGCAAGTCCCGGGCCCTGAAGAATAATTGCGATCCCAATTAGTGTAGAACAAAGGCAATAGCTCAGAAGCATTCAGATTCGCTCAAAAACTAGTAACTCAGATTTAGATGACAAGGTCGTGATCAAGGTGTTCATCGATTGCCACGCGTAGTTACTGAGTGGAGGTTTCCACCTGCCATTCTTGATGAAGGTGAGTATGTCAGTGCCATGGAGTAACAACGAAGAGCTAGAAATAGTGGATTTTAAGTCAAAATACGAGAAGGTGTAACCACCGAAATGCTAGCCGGTATCACAGAATGCAGAGCCGTGGAACTTGACAACAAAAATTGAGAGAGATGATTATACAACTGGGACATTGGCTTGTATTCATCGTTCTGTCGTTTCGCTTAGAGAGAGGATCGCATTCCAGTATTATACAAAACATAAGATCTCCGATCATGGCACGAGGTTAGTTAAATAGCATAGTGGATAACGTCTCGAAAACTAGAATTGCAGCTGAGTCGATGGTGATAAGGTTGATGGAATACTTCGCAGATAAAAGCCGTTATTATACTGGTAATTAGCATAATACTGTCTTGTTAGCTGAGATATTGTTGGAGAGAAATGCTCATTTGATCGATAAGTGCAGAAGGAAAAGGTGAAGACATTCTAGCAGCAATGTCCATCGAAAGTTTAAAATACGACAAATGAACTCCCCAATATGGGGGCTGTAATGGTGCTCAATGTAGAAGGAAGACAAAGATAAAAGGATACCATTACAATATCCATACTGCACGACACCGCGCCCTCGCTTGACTTGTCAAAACGCTAAAACGTCGACAGCTACAGCGAAAGATAGATCCTCCTGGAGAACAGACAAATATGATCATATTCACCACGTGTCAAAAAGCTACCAAGTGCTGCGAACATTTTTGAACCCTTCGTGCATATTTGCCGATCCAGGAGGGATGGAAGGTTTGGTGGGCCATGGGAGCGGGGATCGATTCTCCGTGTGTGTTGCATGGCACCTCCGACCACTGGTCCACCTGCGCCTCTGTTTGGGTATATAGTGATTTTTTCCCGTTTAGTCACTCACACGCGTTGGTAATGCATGTAGGGGCAAGGCGTACGTGAGAATGTGCAGATTGGATTAAATGAACCCACGATTCAAGTATATTTCGATTTGATTTCAGTAGATAAATTCATCTTCAGTCCTTCATGTTCGGAAAGAGACATCGTTAACAAAAATATACAGAAGCCTTTTGATCGTCTTTGATTAAAATTTTCTACAAACTTTTGGTCAAGTTGTTGAAATATTACAATTCCAGATGTGCTATAAAAGGTTAAAACGAGTTAAAATAGAAACGATAAGGCACTCGGCGTTGATCAATCCCTGTGAGGTGCGCCATGTATTTGACTTTATTAAGCGTTGAAAGCTGCGTATGGCGCACTGGTCCGAGGAGCCCTGCAGCACACGTGGGATCGATCTCCGTTTTCAAAGCCCATCAAGCCTTCCGTCCTTCCGGGGTCGGCAAATTGGTACCAAACTTCTCTGGGAGGATAGCACCACTGGCTCGATACATCGGTAGGCCACTGCGAGTCATTGTAAAGCCCAGATATGCATTTAATCACCTCCAAACCATGCTTAGTGAAGTCGAATGTATGACGTATCCTTCAGGAATTGATCAACATCGAGAGACCGATGTGTCTAGCGACTATTGCTATCATCGCAGACCAGTCTGCTACCAATTTGTGACCCCGGAGAGATGGAAGGCTTCTGGTAAGGCTTGGGGCGAGGATCGATCCCATATGTATTGTGAACGTGAATACAAAACGGATAGCACAAAACGCTATCCGACAAAACCATTGTAAACGAATGCATTGAAAATATTTCATAACAATGGTGAAATCAACGCAAATCGACGTACGCTCAGACAGTCGTACATTTGTGCTTTACACGTTCTCGTTTACTGTGCAAATAGAGCGATTTTGTGAAGGAACAATGGGCATGTGAATCCTTGTGAGAGAAGGACACAAATGAAGCTAGATAGAACTAAAATTCAGTTAAAAATGCAGTATGAGGCATACTGACAAAGGTGGTAGTAAGAACTTGTCACGATTGATTCTGAGCAGTTCACAAATAATCACCACTACCGTTCAGTCGCTATATCTAATTTGACTCTCCAAAACAACACGGAACGAGTAGTTTCCATTAAGTCATCTTAATACCGCGTCTTAATCGCTTAAATGTGTCAGGTCCGTCCAATTCACAGTGATCACTTGACCTTTTTAGCGTACCACTTTGCAGATGGTAGTTAGTTAAAAAATCAAACCCTTCATCTGCCTGTCTGGAGTTCGAGCTCGTACCGGCCTGGTGATTTGATGTCAACTCACCATAAATATGCTAGAAAATGAGTAACAATATGCAAAGAGAACTCTCTTGCTCACCACTCGACATTGATGCTAGCCCGGTTAGATGAGTTTGTAGAGCAACAGACTCTCAATGTGTTTCTAGTTCGAGCTGGCACCGGACCAGTGATTTAACGTTAGTTCACCATAAGTATTTTAGGAAAACAGTAGTTAGATACTTTCCAGAAAATGTGTGTCATGCAACACGTAACACAAGGAACATGTTTAATGCCAAGAAAATGATATACAAATGATACATGAGATATTTGCAAGCACGTATAAACTAATAAAGAATCCACAATGTTACATACCAGCATCGAACAAGAACAGGTACCGAGATATGCTCACGATGAATGTGGTCGCCTGTATGTATACTGACCTCCATATTAACAAGCTTATCTACAACAACGGTAGTAGATAGTGATTTGCTCATGACTTTATCACGCAGTGTTTTTAAAAGCATCTAGAACGAGGCCCAAAGGAAAGAGGAGACGTAACAAACTAGAAGTAGGGAAACCCCACACGTGCAACAAGAACGTTATCAAGGTGTCGATAGCTGGTATAAGGATATCTACAGCTTCATCTATACTGAAGTAATGACATCAATTCAATAGTTAAACAAGTCTAAACCATAAAACATTTCTATACCTAGTTCCATACTAGTCTAGTTCCACATTGATGAGATAACGAAATTATCTCTACAAGATGTCCAGTGAATACCACAGAAAATGAAAACAAAATTTCAATGTACTAAAGACGACGAAACGTAAAGGTTTATCTGCTTATCAACAAGGATTAGTGAGGTGTTGAACGCGGAACAAATTGCACAACTCATCGACGTGCGCCTCGTGTCGGAATGATACCCTAAGTGGATATAAACATAGTACATTCCGTGAAACCAAAGAGAAAAAAAAACACTTTCGTATTGATATAAGTATCTAAAAAATGCACTTGAAAATAGTTACCATAACCACAACGTTGCTGAGATATTTGCAAAACTCTGGACCGCAGGTGACTGAGGTGAAGATCGAACACGCTATTATCATTTTCAGGGGCTAACGCGCTCACCACAACGCCATGCGAGTTTTTCATTTCGCCTTTCTCTCAGCCGTTTTACTGACCTATAGATGCTGTCAGCAATCACAAAACTCAACGGTTTTGTGAGTCAACCAATATCTTTGAGTGCATAATAATTAGAGGTACAATTGAAACTGTACCCAGGTGCATCAGATCACAGAACAGAAATTCTCGAGCACTACATGCTTCCACTACCAATTTCAAAACTTAAACCTTACCGGATATCAGGGACATTGGTTCTATAGATATCATTGCCAAGCACACCTTCTTCACGATAATTCGGACCGAGCCAATGTATTTTTACCTACGAAAAAACTTGCATGTTGTAATATTATAAAACAAATAAATTGCAACAGTTATACATGTGCAGTGAATAAACGTTTTAAAAAAACAACACGAGGACAAAACAGCGAAACAAAAACACCTTATCCTCGAATCCGCTTTGCATCACGCTGTTCCGTGCCAATTCACACATATCACACGAACTGAGCTTCCACACCTAAGAACTTATCAGTTGGATATGAAAACCACGATAAAAAGAGCTTTTCAAAAAGAAGTGATAATTTCCCACGGCTTCACGGTACCTATGACTACAATATCAAAGATGAACTTAATAAAGGATAAAGGAAAAAGTTCTCGATACTGATCAATCATAAGAGCATCAGTGGAGATGACTGAATGCATTTCTGGCCTTTGCAATGAATTGCGGTGGCCTACCGATCCATCGAGTAAGTTCTGCTGCCCTCCCGCATAAGTCTGGTACCAATTTGCCGAGCTCAGAGGGAAGGCAGGCTTGCTAAGTTTTGAGCGCATTGGCCGATCACATGTGTACTGCAAGGTACCTCCGACCACTGCGCTGCATGCGCCTCTAACTACAAAAGATGAACTAAAACAATAGATGTCTTAGACGAAACCGAAAAATTGCCCAAAACGTACTAGCGACAATCAAGGCACAAATTATAAGACGGACAAAATGACCTGAAGATAATTTCAGCTTATTATTTACTGCCTACTCTTCTTAACGGCAGGGTATATAATGCGAAATATATCTTCAATGATGCTGAGATATTTGCAAAACTCCGGACCGCAGGTGTATGCGGTGGGGAACGAACGTATTGTCCTTTCTCAGCTCTTTCTGTCTGTCTCCCCGGAAATGACAATAGCGCGCTCGTTCACCACCGCGTACACCTGCGGTCCAGAACTTTGCAAATATCTCAACAACATTGACCTGAGGATACTTGTGTTCTTGGAAGTAACTTATTTAATAAATAGCAAGAAGTATTCCAACATTTCCATTTAAAACGAAACTTAATGGAATGGATGGACATGACGTTTTTAAAAGCGTTCCAAATAAGATAAGCTAATACTAGGTGATAAAAGGATAAAGTAAGAAGACGACAAAATGGATCCTCATGAAAAAGCGTGAACATCTGGTCTTTCTGAGGAGCGCTTGAAATCCTTCATAACTTCCAGAACTCGACAACCACCTGTGCGCAAGCGAAACCGGAGAGCTTCATTTAATGGGTTAAAATCCGATAAAACAGAAACATACACTTTCAAAATTCCAAGTTTTGCAACTTAACAGTTGCCCATGGTACGAACGACACGGTCGTACTGAGCGCAAATGCCTCGAAATTTATGGGGCCGAGGAGAGGTTAACCAACGGGCAATGGAACGATGTTTTGAAAAATTCCGTCATCGGGAATTCAACCTCCAAGAAGAGTAAGGCCGCCTAAGTTATTCATTGCTAATGACCATGCTGAATCGAAGATTTTACTGCAAGGACATACACGCCCCCTTAAGAACTTGCAGAGTACTCCGATTTAAGCATCTCAGCTGCTTTTAAACATTCAAATAAGCTGAAAAGTCAGAAAAACTCGATAAATTGATGCCGGACGAATTGGACGACAAAGTCGTTTTGTATCGGCGATACTTTTGCGAAAACAGAAGTACTCGCTTTTCGATTATACTTTGACGACCGGAGTAGCACAGTTTACTGATGCCGTCGATCGGGAAGTAAAACGCACTAGTTCGATCCCCGCCGTAACGCTTACGTCCAATTCAACTGGAAATGTCTTAGACCGGCCCAAAAGATTGCAAACAGAATTGACTCAACCAGCATTCTATGCCATTCGTAAAGAAAAGAAATCTCCACCCAGTAGCTGAAACAACATGAAAAAAGCTCGGAGACCATTGTGAACGATAAGAACGAAGAAAACGAACCGAATTCAAGTGTTAGGATCTGCACAGATGCGTTGACAGAACACATAAAAATGTAAAAAAATTTGACGATCGATGATAAGTGGATTCTGAGCGACAACTGGCCACGATTGGCTCGTTGGATGAATCGCGACAAAACCACGCAGAACTTTCCAAAGCCGAAACTGCACCAGAATAATGTCAACCCGACCGCTTGGTGGTTTGTTGCTGGTTTAACCCATCTTGAATCCAGGAAAATTATTATGGTTGATAAATACGTTCGGCAAATGGAGGAAATGCTCCATGAATTTCGAAGGATGCGCCCAGCAATGGTCAACGGAAGGGCATTAGTTATTCTCTACGACAACGCACTGCGACGTATCTCAAAACCGATGCTGCAAACACTGAGAGATCATGGCTAGGAAACACCACATCATCTGCCATACTTGCCAGACCCCTTACTTCCTGACCGCCAATTCTTCAAGAATGTCAGCAACTCCCCGAACGAGAAATGCTCCAGAAATCAAGCCGAACCCGAAAATGCCTTCAACAATTGCCCTCGGAAGTGTTATTCTGAATAATAAAGTGCGTTCTGAACCGAGATGTTCCACTTCGAAAATAAAGGTTCAGATCCGCCATTACCTTCTGAGCAAAACAAAATGTCTTTAAATCAATTACCAAGCCAAAAGCTCCACGTTAGTAAAAGTGAACAAATTCCCTTTAATTGCCTCAATTCATATATTATCAAACCATGTTGCCTTCCTAGAATGAAAACATTGAACAAAAAGTTCATACCTGAGCAGCGATTGAATATTCTTCCATTAGAGCTTCTTTGGTATAGTGAAACTGCAGTGGATCGTCGGTAGACAAGGAAACGTTAAGTCCCTAGATAAAAGTCATTTCACTGTGACATATGAACTTCATTACGAAGACGGCAACCTTCTGAAGATATTCCGGCAAAGGGTTCCGTTGATAACTTATGAACAACGAGTTATTTGACAATGGTGACATGGCGATACCCATTTGCGTCAGATAGAAAAGATATTGCAGAACCGGGACCTAAAAATCATGTTCCTTTGCTTGATGCTATAATATTGTCTCGATTCCCAACAATGAAATCCTTGTAGAAATAAAAAAACAACCTTTAACTGCAATATCTTATGTCCTACAATAATTATGAAGGCAGAAACAATGCAGTGATTGTGTCCTTTTTTTGTTCAGCAATCGCGAGGTTTTTAAACAGCATACATTTGACTTCATAAAAAACGTTTTTTACACAGCAGGACCCTAACGATGGAGTTGACATAAAATTCCGCGTGTTTTCGGACGGCGTTCTCAAGACCCTTGATCACTACGGCGATAGGAAGTTTATCTCTAACCTTACAGCCGCACAAAAATGTGGCATGCGGGAAATTAGAGAATTAATAAACTCGAAAACAATAAAATTGTCTGTTAGTGATAAGGGGGGAGAGTTCGTAGTTATCCCTCGCCAGCTGGATGTTGAGATAAGAGAGGAACATCTTAGTGATGCTACTCTCTATCGCCCATCCTCTGAAAAGGAATATAAAAGTCAATACCGAAAGCTAAACAATCAATGGGTCAGCGTGGCAAAGGCTGCGGGTTTAAAATCATCGGTTATATCGCACTTTAAAATCGATAGACCAACATGTCCCGTCCTATACCTACTTATTAAAACACATAAGTTGGTATCACCTGATGATCATGCGTCAACCAATCCGTCATCATTTAAGGTTAGGCCGATCATCAGCTGTGTAGACGGGCGAACGGATAGAATGACCTGGTTTTTAAGCCTGATACTTACCCAGTTGCTTAACCACATTCCAGCTCACCTCACAAACACCCAAATGTTCCTAGAACGTCTACGTANAAATTGTCTGTTAGTGATAAGGGGGGAGAGTTCGTAGTTATCCCTCGCCAGCTGGATGTTGAGATAAGAGAGGAACATCTTAGTGATGCTACTCTCTATCGCCCATCCTCTGAAAAGGAATATAAAAGTCAATACCGAAAGCTAAACAATCAATGGGTCAGCGTGGCAAAGGCTGCGGGTTTAAAATCATCGGTTATATCGCACTTTAAAATCGATAGACCAACATGTCCCGTCCTATACCTACTTATTAAAACACATAAGTTGGTATCACCTGATGATCATGCGTCAACCAATCCGTCATCATTTAAGGTTAGGCCGATCATCAGCTGTGTAGACGGGCGAACGGATAGAATGACCTGGTTTTTAAGCCTGATACTTACCCAGTTGCTTAACCACATTCCAGCTCACCTCACAAACACCCAAATGTTCCTAGAACGTCTACGTAACGCGTCTCCTAGTAACGCTTACGTGATGGAGTCCTTCGACGTTACCGCTCTCTACACCAATGTATCGAATGACTCCGCAATGCAAGCCATCTTCGAACTTCTTGTTGAACATGAAGGAAGAATAAATATGCATGGCTTGTCCATCCAGCAGCTAATGGCTCTCTTAAAGGAGTGCCTAAACTGCTCGGTTTTCAGATGGTCTGAGAAATATTTTGCGCAAATAAGGCGGTTGGCAATGGGACAGCGATTGGCACCAAGCCTTGCCATTGTGTTTATTTCTGAGATAAAATCCACTGTTCTCGATATCCGGCCATTACTCTACGACATATATGTAAAAGACTGTTTTGTCGTCTTCTCTACACAGGAGGAGATGGACAAATGCTTTCAATTATTGAACGAGCAGTCCGAGTACACAAAGCTCACCCGGGAAAAACCGAGAAAAAACTGGCTTCCGTTTTTAAACATTCAAATAAACCTATCAAGTAGCGGTTACCCGACAAAGTGATATCGAAAGCCAAGTAACAAGACCATTCTTGTTCATTTCCTTTCTTCCCACCCTTCACACACAAAGAGGGCGATTGTGAGAAACATGTTTCGAACAGCCACCTCTGTGTGAACTACCAGGGAACTAAAGGAAAAATCGCGCGACTTGGCTCGGCAAATAGCCATCTCCAATGGCTACGAAATAGTAACCCCACGAGATAAGTTTACAAGGAGAGCGACGCGCCCAATCGAAACACATGGGCAAAAGAAAGTCCCGTTTATGTTGCCACTTATTAGCAATGAAGTAAGCGTAGTTATTAAACGACACTTAAGAAGGGCAGGTCTATAGGAATCGGTAGCGATGGTTGAAATACCACCGGCTACTCTACGTCGCCAAGTGTGAAACAACAAATTGCGTAATTTGCCCTTACGGCAGCGACGGTGATTGCATGTTCAGGTACGATATAGCTGATCTCTTGTAATAATTGCGGAGATGAATATATTGGCGAAACGGGCAGACCTTTGTGTATCCGTATAAAAGAACACCCAGATGGCAAACGAAAACTAAAACGAAGCACCCCACTAGGCACGCATAGGATACAAAAGCATAGTGGAGACGATTTTGAAGTAAAAGTCAATATCGTTGCACAGGAGTCCAAAACACCAACGCGAAAACTCCTTGAGGCTTTTTGGATAAATGCCAAAAACCCTACAATGAATAGCCGGGACGAATGCCCGGAGGTCATACGCGACCTGATCCCGTACGTTCGCATCGATTTTTGATGTGGGATGGTGCAGTCGTCAACCACATGAGACTATAATCAGCTGTTCTAAACTTCCTCATTGGAAATCACGAAAAAGCGGTGGGTTTTTCGAGAAGCTGTTGATCATGTAATTACCGGAGAGTTTTTCGTCTTTTTGTAAGTTTTATTGAAGCGTTTGGCCTAGTAGGTTGTATATCAGTATAGCCTTCCAGACTCTGAAGAAGGCGATACTGCCGAAACGTCAGCTAGCGTTGTATTGTATTGTGGTTTTTTATGTGAATGTAAATGTATGCTGTTTAAAAACCTCGCGATTGCTGAACAAGAAAACGACGCATTCATATTCCAATGCCGAGGTTAATAGAAAGTCGATCCTGGGAACTATGCAGTGATTCTTGCTGATTCCCATTTATTGGATGAACCTGGCTGTAATCCAACAGCAGAATCGATTTTTAGGGTTACGTATGTTTCTGGACCGAGAAACGATGAGGGTTTGACCAATAAAGAACCAAAAAGCACGGATTCAATGAATTTGTGGCACTTGTTAATGTTTTTGCACAACAGAATGAGTATCACTTTTACTGAAAACTCGTGTAATCATAATTAGGGTGCACTGAATCAGAAGTTCTTAACTAGAAAGGCCTCTGTTTCCTGTGTTGTTTGTTAAGAAGACATAGAATCCCCTCCAACTTCTCAAGCATTTCTTCCGAAGTCGCGTTTTGCAGCTCCCCTACTTCATATGCTAAATTCAAACTGGCCTATCTATTCTTAGTTTATAATTTTCTCATGACTTTAACCCCTCCATGACGAAAAAGGCCCTTCAACAGCTTACGATAATTTCTCGATCAATGGAGTATTTCAGGACTTCGGAACGATATAGAGAGAATACTTTGTTCAGATGCAACAATCACATGTATGACTTCAAGCAGTGTCTTTTAGAATTTAAATATGTTAAAAACCAAAACTCAAAAAACAGTAGAGGAATGTGAGTTCCTAAAATATCCCGACAAATGAGGGACAGCCACACATAAACGATAAAGTGGGAACATTATCGTGTACTGTTCGACGAAATACGGCTTGATCACTTGATTCCATGCTTGAAATATGAGCTATGAAGCAATAAAGTGGAGGAAATACTTGCCATAAGTTCCACGAAACACGAATTTCATAGTGGAAGAACAACGGCACTGTTCTTGTGCAGGCGAAGAACATAGTTCTTATTGCAATTAATAAGATCCACTAAGGTTCGCGGCATGTTGAGCTGAAGTTGAAAGCGAGGGTAACCTTTCCGCATCGCATGATTCCTATAGAGGTTGTGCCGTCGCATAAGTATAAAATTCTTGACTGGGATCAAGATAAAACTGCCATTTATCAGAAATTTGCCGCTCAATAGCCAAAGCGCAAATATCTGCCTGGTCGACTTCAAAAGTGGCACACACACCATCACTTCTTATCCTATTTTATCAAATTGGTAGTGATGCCCGTCATCACGAGCATGGTGCTAGTTCGATTCCCCTCCGGACCAACCAAGCCTCTCATCCCTCCGGTGGCGGGAAATCGGTACCGGACTCCTCCGTGAAAAACAATTACTCTTTGCAATCCAACTACGAACGCTCCAGCCCGGCTATCTCAGAACTCCAGGAAGAATTGCTCAACTAGCATTATACGACATTCAAAATGAAATGAAAAATCCTCAAGCATCAACCGAAACCAAATGTAAAAAGTTGGAAGATCTTCGGGGATAATGGACGCGAGGAAATGAAACGAATGTGAGAAGTGCTGGGATCCGCACAGTGGACGTGAAGACGGACCATATAAAAAAAAATCCGAATTTATTGGGCTCTTTCTCAGTATGGTTTCCCAAGTTGAAAAGTAGCGCGGTGTTTCCAACAGAAAACCCAGCTAAGAGTAAACCAATTCAAGAATCCACCACCGTCCCAGTATCAAACTAGTCGCATGGTGGCAAATCTACCTCTGATTCACAAAGGCGGCGATCCCCTGTGGTAGTGACGACCTGACGTAGACTTCGGCTAGGCCGACTGGGACTCCAGGAAGCCACAATGGTTAAATCAGCAAAACTCCGAAAAAATGGAGATCATACTGGGGCCCGCACAACCAGAGAGGACGGGCCAACCAAGCAAGTAACCAAGTAATAATAGGATTATATTTAGCCCAAAACCAAATCAGTGCAAGAAGTTTCACAACAGCACACTACAATAATAGTGATAGCTGTGATAACAGTGAAAAATGGAAAAAGTGCTGCGGCCAGCACAACGAGCGATGACGGTCCATCCAAGTGTACAAGCATTTTATCAAAAAGTCTAAATAAACAAGTGTCGCGAATGCCATACCTTTCGTAATAAAAGACCGTGTGAGATACTTTCACTTGTAAGGAACCCAGTAAGCAGATGATTCACATGTCCAGCTTCTCCACAATGAGGACGTAATGAGAAGGTGCTCATGCCGCGTTCCCTGAGAAAACACATGGCAACAATTGGTGAAGGAAAACGTACACAGTGAATCATATTTTTTAAACATTTTCGATGTTACCTTTGTGGACACAAAATATGTGCACTCACAGTGTCGTCACATTTTATTTATTGTCTATTCGTTCTTGACGGATTAGTGCCAATTTGTGCTCCCCAGATCAATCACGTTAACGGTTGATTGCTGTTAGCACCTATAGGTCAACAACACGACTGAGAGACAGGCGAAACGAAGGGCTCGCATGGTATGGTGGTGAACGCGTTAGCCCCCGGAAAGGGTAAAAGCGCGTTCGTTCTCCACCGCAGACACCTGCGGTCCAGAGTTTTACAAATATCTCAGCAACATTGTGGACGCCAACAGCCCGGAGTTTTGCCAATATCCCAGCATGATTATTGTTATCTGCAGTCAATTTCCAGAACTTTCCAAGTTCTTGATGTTTAAACTTAGATTAAATAATCTCACCTTCTAAACGCATTCAATGCAGTGAGATTTGCGTACATGTAGAATAGATAATAATTATACGGAGGATTTTCTGCATCTTTATAATTTGGCGGAGTTGGTGTCGAGCGATCGAACTAAAAAAAACATCAAAAATGTTTCAGAAGAATATCGTCGACAGTCAGAAGTCTGAAGGTTACTGAAAAACACACTACGAGAACTCACATGTACAAACTCATGTTTGCTTTCATCATCGACTGAATCAATGCCAGATACCTGTTGAAGAAAACGATAGAGGTCCGGATGAGACGACGGGTCATTTGTAACCTATAAATGAAATCCGCTGAAAAAAAATATACAGTACCTTCCAAATTACGACAACTAGCTATGAATACAAACAAGAAAAAACACGTAAATATAATTGGGTTTTCGTTCCAATGACATTGACCTGTTGACGGGTGATTGACAATGGCACTGGTAGATAGAAAACCTGCTAAGAGGTAGGCCAAGCGAAAGAGCCGCTTGTGGTAGTTAACGCGTCAGCTCCGAAAATTAGCGTGCTCGATCCCAACCGTATATTGAAACAAGGATAAAAGTTATTTTAAAGCAATATGTGGCAGGAAGCTTTCCAAGATGGGTACGATAAAACTAATCCGGTGCAGGTAGTGCTGGAAACCGCGCAGTAGATGTGAAGATGGGTTGTGTACAAAGTGTGAAAAGTCTGTACCATCTGAGCACGCTGACTCCAGATAAGTCTGGAACCATTTCTCCGACTCCAGCGGGGTGGAAACCCTTATGGACTTGGAGCCGGGACGAACCAAAGTCTTGTTCGTAGTCAACGGCACCACTACTACAGCGCTACCCATCCCTCATAATTAAATTAGACAAGAAAAATCGATTGAGTGGATCCAAAAGAGAAGCAAGCGTATGTAAGATCAACAAGATGTTCCAACTAGTTTTTCGCATACATCAATTAACAGTAAACCTACGTTGATGTACAACTCGTAGATTATAAGCGACAATTCACGGATGTTATCAGGCATGAAGAAGATTTTCTGGATAAATCTCGATAAACAATGGAATGTGATCTCTGCTAAACTTCGTATGCTTCCCAATGAATTCTACCTAACTACACAAGAATTATAGTAACTGCTAGCATAGTTCAGCACAGTTCACCACTTGGATACTGGGATGGCCCATCCTCCGTGGTTGTGCAGACCCCAGTACAATTTCCATTGCTTCGGAGTTCTGCTGGTTAAGCTATTGTGTTTCCCTCGAGTCCCGAGGTCAGCCTGGCCAAAGTCTGCCCCAGGTCTTCACCACCACGGGCAGTCGCAGCCCTTGCGGATCAGAGGGAAATTTGCCACCATGAGACTAGTTTGATACCAGGACGGTGGTGACCTTGGTATTGGTTTACTCGTAGCTAGGTTTCCTGATGGAAACGCCGGACTCCTCAGCTTGGGAGACCCTGCCAGGGGATGAATCCCTCAGCCGTATATCGCAGCAGGACACCCAGGAACAACTTAAAGCCTCGATGAGACGGTAAACTGTTGGGAATTCAACACTAGTTACTCTTATATCGAGATTAAGGACATATATTTATCAAGAAGACATACTTAACCGTCGTGTTGAACCGATCATACTAGAGAGCAGATAGATCATGAGAGCCATTTTTATAAACGTACTCGAGACTTTGCCGATTTTTGTTGGAAAACTGCCGATAGTTCTTCCATTACTAAAGCCTTTAAGAACCTGGTGACTTAACAGTTTACTTAGTGTTTTCTCGATGAACAGACACAAGGTTGTTAATATACTATCTATTCATTACAGCTAATGGTTCAGTAAAACACTTTCATAACTTCAGGAGATAAAACTTAATACACAAATTTTAATTCGCAGAGTAAACAGATTATTCTTGTTCTTTTGCTCTGTTCTTTCTATTCTTCATTTATTTGATGGAGACCATCCATCTTAACATGGGTAAAGAATGCGGCAGGTCAAAAAATCAGCTCAAGGTATGCGGCAAGGTCACAGAGCACTCCTCCTTGCGGTTCACTTTCGGATTTTTGGAATATATCCTAAAGCTTATTAAGAGGTACGCGCTGATGCTTTAGGATCCTGTGCGAGGACACTAACCTCTACCTTAAAATCTCCGTTGCCTTCGTGTCCTATGTGGACCTAATGGAGTATCTGGTCTAACTTTAAGCTTACTGAATAGGCGTTCTTTCATACGGACTCAGACTGGCCTATCTGTTTTGCTGACGTGTTCATCCCCACACGCTTCACAAGAGATTAGGTGTCGCGAGAGTTTGGATATGGTGAATAAATAGTGCGTTGGGTTGTGTCTGCTCAAGAAAGGTGAATTATTGACCAATGCTGAGTATACCAGAAAGTCGGTTTTGGAATTAACAGGTTTATACCATAAAACGATTTGAGGCACGATCATAGGGACACGCTATCTTGTTGAAGTACTATCTCCATTTTGAATTCCTTCAGAACTCAATTTTACGAGATGCAACGACCAAATCTATATATGTAAAGTTTTCAAAGCAACTCTCTCACAAACAGACGACAATGAACGCAGTGGAGAAATCAACTTGTCCTCTTACGCGGAACACAAGTGTTCCTATCATCGACTGACGAAGTGCAACCCTCCGTGGAAAAGGGAAAACGCGAATCTAGTGAGCCCCAATGACCAAAATCTACAGCTGTACAATAAAAAAAAGTTATCGCTTGGTCAGCGAACATCTGTAAAATGTAATGGCTTTGATCCAAATCAAGAACGTCCACTACGAGCAGAGATGGTCAATAGTTGGAAAGCGCAACAATGTCTGGGAGCAGACGCACTGAAACCAAACGCGCAGAATGTACTAAAGATACATCCTATTAACGAAACAGGGCAAAGTCGCATCGCTTAATGATCTAAAAATACAGGATGTATTCGACTTTGTTAAGTATCTCATGGTTTCTGAATATATATTTGGACAATACAACGACTTGCGAGGGCGTATAGATATATCAAGTCGGTGATGTTTTTCTCCTACCAGACAATCGTGGTACCATTGGAGATATCGGGGAAATATAGTGCACTTCTAACCCTTGCACTATTAACCACTGCTCTACACGCACACTATTTTCAGAGATTTTTAAGAAATACACATGTAAATTACAGAGATAACCTCCTAGAGAAAGAGCCAAAACGGTCATTTCTGGATGAAAGAAAAATCGCAACTGTTTCGATAACTATCATAAAAAACAACTGTTTAATCCTCATTCATACAAACCTCGAACAACGGAGTGAAGACGTTGTCCAGAATTTCGTCAAAGGTTTTTACCATATTTTTTGCTTTGTAAACATCACTGAAATGTTGGTTCGAATAAAACTAAAGCTATGACAAAAGCTGTGAGAAGAGAAAGTGTGAGCTTACTATAGCCGAGGAATTTGAATTAGCCATCTCACATTCGGACTCCATACATCGTGTGTGATCGCCCATTTAGCCAAATTGTCCCATTCATCCTGAAATCCAACATCTTATCCATTATTACCATCCAGACGGCTCTATTCAAACCGAGCTTAGTGCTCATACTTCCTAGACAAGGTTTTAAAAAAGGATGAAGTTCTCGCTGTTAATCAATCTCTCAGGGATGCACCATGCACACGACTTCATTAAGCGTCGCTGGAGGTGAATGAATGCATATCTGGCCTTTACAATAACTCGCAGTGGCCCACCGATGAATAGACCCGGTGCTTCTACCCTCCCAGACAAGTGTGGTATTAATTTCCCCACCCCAATGGATGGAATGCTTGGTGAGCCTTGGCCGCATGAATGTGTACTGCAGGACGCCTCCGACCACTGCGCTACACGAGCTCCTAGACAAAATAAACAAAAGAAAACTAATCAATCCAACACAAAGCTGCTGACCTTGCTTCGACCATATATGGATAAACGTGGCTCCGCATGTTGGTATTTAGAATCCTCAAGATCAGACAGGACTTCCTGAAATAATAGTGCGTTATAATTTCGTCCCACAGAGGAATACTTTTGCAGGACATCCACAACTTACCATAAGTACTTCCGCAAAATATTTTCCTCCAACATAGTTGTCGGTCTTGATGAAAATTTCACGAAGAGTCGACTCGCCTACGGGATTATACCTGCAAAGTACATAGGCCTTTTCAAACTCGCAAACAACAGCCGTCTAAAATGATCGTGAAAATGGTGATGTTTTTGGGTGCAATTCAATCAAACACTGCTGGGAGCTCAACACCAAATTGAAATAAAACCATAAATACCCAGCCCCCAACGGTTTACAGCCTCATTGCGGCTAGGAGATGTTCCTGGATGTTGGGCTTCAATGCATAGCAAGGGAATCCGTTCCCTCAGAATGGCATCACAAGCTGCGAAGAAGTCGGTGTTTCCATATCAGGAAGTCCGGCTAAGACTAAATCGATATCAGGATCCATCAGCGTCGTGGTAATATCAAACTAGTCGCACGGTGGCAAATCTCCCTTTGATCCACAAGTGCGGAGAATGCCTGTGGTGGTGACACCTAGTGCACACTTTGGCTAGGTTAACCTCGGGACTCCAGAGAACCACCATGACTAAGCCGGCAAGCCCCCGAAAAAACAGAAATTATGCATGGTCCCAAACAATTAGTGAAGACAGTCCATCCAAATATCCAAGTAAGCAAGTAAAAAGCTATTACAATAAAAACGACAAACTTGGTGTTAAATTTGTCAAAACGGTGAAACGTATTCCTGTCCGCATGAACATCTAGCATATCAACAGAAAGATCGTACGCATCGATACCCATCTTCGTGAACACCTCTTTCATCGTTATAGGCTGGTTATCCTACAAATACTAGCATTAGATAATTTTATTAAGGCTGTAGAAGAGTTCTAAGACATGAGAAACATGTAAAGAAGAAACCTTTTCGAGTACAACTGTGTTCGCTTCTGTTTTGATCTTCTTCTTAATGAATCGAAGAAGATGCTTCTGATTCATGGAAGACGCCGCATGGATGTGAGTATCGACCTGGAAATTATCGCATGAAGGATAAATAAAGGACAACGCTCTCGGTGTTAATCTAATCTATTCCGTAGGGATGCTTCATGCATTTGACTTCGATAAGCATCGTTTGGAGGTGATTGAATGCATATCCGGCCTTTACAATGACTTGCGGTGGCCTAGGGACGTGTCGACAATGCTGCTATCCTCCTGGACAAGTCTGGTAGCATTTTACCGACTGCGGGGGAATGGAAGGGCCAGGGGCGCGGTGATCGGTCCCATGTGTGTTGCACATCACTACGCCATACGTGCCTTACATGCGGAAATTATCGTTAAAATTAAAAACATTACAACGCGAAAACACGAATAGGAGCTCACTTTTCGAATATTGTAGAAATCTCTGTGTGAGACGGCCTTCTGTTCATGCAATTCACGAAGTTCGTTAAGCAGTACATGCAACTGGAATTTATTCTGCAGATAAGAAAGACGACGAAAACAGAACGATTTCCTGAAAGATGACTTCATAATAGCCAAAAGATAGAAAACTATTGGAGAGTGAACTCAGAAGTTTCGACGGTAACCGATGGATGGACTGTAATTGGTAGCAATCGATAATCGACAGTCTAATAAGATGAAGGTATTACCAGTAGACAGCCATACCACCTTGCCAGAACGATGGTCACCGAAAGATTTCAAGGTTTTCAAATTTCAACGCAATAAAAATATGCCGTATATAGTAACTTTGAAATTAAAAACTTACAGAGGTCCATCAACAATCATCTGGGTGAGGCGTTCAGTGTCAGAAAGGAACTGGTCCTTTGATATGTAGCACTTCGCGAAATGTGGGTTTAGTTGGCCATTTGCATCGCATACTTCGACCTAAACTTTTAACAAAACTGAGAAATAGTGAAAGAAAAGAACCACTGGAAAAAGGAACAACTGTTAACAAACCATGATAAGGATAAAGGGCAAAGCTCTCAGCGTTGATCAATTCCTGAGGGATGCGCAATACATTCGCTTCATTAAGCATCGTTGGAGATGATTCAATGCATATTTAGTCTTTACAATGATTCGAGGTGGCCTACCGATGTAACGAGCCAGTGTTGCTATCCTCCCAGACAAGTTTGGTGTCAATTTGCCGAAGGGATGGAAGGCTTCGTAAGCCTGCGGCTCCCATATGCATTGGAGGGCGACGTTACGCGCACTACAAACAAGTAGAAGACGAAGATGCATCAGATTAGTATACTATGGGTAAATACATGGCTCCACCCTACTAAACCAAAATGCGAACTCTGAAGATCAATTTCTTCCTAAGTAACTGGATAGGTAATACATGGAACTACATGGAAATTCTAAAACACCACAACGTATCAAAGATCAAAGGAAGAGCGAAGTAGCGAAGAACGATATTCTAAATGGAATTATAGTTAATTAGATCCTAAATCGCCAAACACTCCCAAGGGTTTACCGTCTCATCGTGGCTGGGAAGTGCTGCTGGGTGTCAGGTTGCGATGTGCAGCGGGGGAGGGATTCACCCCCAACAGGGCCTCCCAAACTGAGCAGGAGTTCGGCGTCTCCATCAGGAAGGCCAGCTAAGAGTGAACTAATACCAGGACCCACCACTGTCCTGTGGTAAATCTCCCGCTGATTCACGAGGGCAGCAACTGCCTGTGATTGTGAAGACCTGGTGCATACTTTGGCTAGGTTAACCTCGGGACTCCAAAGAACCGCAATGGCTAAGCCAGAAAAACCCCGAAAAAATTTAAATTACGCTAAGGTCTCCACAACCAGTGAAGACACCCATCTAAGAATCCAAGTAAGTAAATAACTAGCTAAGTAAATGACGCACAAAAGCAACACTTCGAAAAAAATGAAAAAACAAGGAACAAGTTTCTTAGTTGCTACAATAAACATAAACCTGTTTCGAAAGTGATAACAGAAAACTTACTACTCCTTCGTTTCTTCTTAAGGTATACTTCACAGAAAACGTTGGCAGCGGATTCTTCAGTCCCCAGTGATCCTTTGGTGGCTCCGGTGGATTGAATGACGTATTGGCCGCTGAAAAGCGTTCCAACTCAATGATGTTTCGGGATAACTACAACAGCGTGCATTCATTTTAGAATGTGACGATGATTAACACTGAAAGCGGTGTTTGGAAGAAGAAGAGAACAAACATGATGTGAAAACGTTACATGTAAGTGTATTAACAACGAGAACACTCAAGAAAAATCACTGTTTAGTGTTCATGCACACTCGACAATTCTCTACTGTTTATTTTCAAACGGGTCATTAGAAACTTAAGCACTCCCGAAGAGGGAAGCTAAGAAGTAAGGAGTTTAGGAGTAAGTATGGAGAGGTCTAAAATTACGTCTACAAACCAAAGAATTATTACCCGATACCTCGGAGCACTCACAATCAGAGTACCTCTTTACCGTCTCTAAAGTACAGATAAACGAATATATATGCTTGGAGACCCTGTGAGAAACGACTAATAGGGAACCAATTTTTGCAGACGGATTGCTGAATTTCAACTTTAGAACAAATCGTACACTCAAAGAATATGCACGTTTGCGCTCTAACGAAAGGCGTATGTAGCGCATTAGCCGGAGGCGCTCTGCAACACACACGAGATCGTTCTCCGTGTCTACGGTTCATCAAGCCTTATATCAATCCGAGCTTGGCGAATTGGTAACAGACTTGTCTGCTAGGATAGCAGCATTGGCTCGATGTATCGTTAGCCTACCAGGAGTCATTGTAAAAGCCAGATATCCATTCAGTGACCTCTAACGACACTTAATGAAGTCCAATGCATGGCACATCCCTTAAGGATTGATTAACGCTGACAGCTTTATCCTTTTATCCTTTTTAGGTTCTAACGGCTTAGTAAGGTGGAAGTAGGCAAAGAAAATTTCGGCCAAGCTTGTCCCATTTGCCCTGATTGGTGGAAATTTTCGTGTTACATTCCACATTTAAACTAAGTAGTAAAAATCTGTAAATAAACCTAAGAACAGTGCTGAAAAAATGCAGGGAAATCTAGGTGCTTAAATGTACGGCAATAGACAGGATATCAACCCACACAGCTGAACATCTGAACAAAACAGCATCCTGGATATCGTCCAAATTCGGTCATGAAAAATAAAAGAGCAACCCCTAACATAAAATTCTGAAAAATTAGAAAAATCCACGCTGAAAACAGGCCACCTACTTGACTCCGTATTTTTTCTACGAAATCTCGGAAGATTTGTCGGATACTCTCCATTAAGGAAGCGTTTTGTCGTAATCGGGAACTGATTCCCTATTCTCTCCATGTATTGACAACGCATTCTAAGTGCTTCAATGAGATGAGTTGCTGCATCTTTCAGATCCTCTAGTGGAACCTAAAACAATAATGTCGAAATAACTTTGGAAAGAGAGACCATAGGGTCAGGATTAACGTATCAAGGAGTAAGCGCAATTTTTTCTACGCGCGCATATCCAAAAGCAATAACGAACTTTACTACTATAATGAAGACGATATGACTCATCAATGACCGAAAATGCTTGTGTATTCCAGGTTTAAAAAAAACTATATCTCATTTCATAACGAACTTCAGCAATTTAAACAAAAACCGTTTAAATCTATAGATAATCGCCAACAAGATATAACTTCTATTACTCTACAAGAATAAAACTCTTATATTTTTGAGATTGTGAAGACACTTTGTTGCTCCTTTCGTGAACACCTGCATCTCGTACAGCGTTTGACGATGGTGTCAAAGTCAAAGAAACACAATAAATGGACACCGTGCAAAGTGAATGAAAAAAAAGCGTCCAAAAATTTAGCTGTTTTGAAATATCATTGGGGCCATTTCTGCGCGAGCAGAACAGGCAAACTCTTGACAGCATTGTGACGTGAGAAAAGAAAAGGATCCTCCACGACAACCGAGTACGATTGGCTCAGCGGTGGCACCGCAATAGAACTCACCTACTCATTTCAATGGTAGGGTATATTGAGAAATATAACTTCAACGACGCTGAGATGATATTATACCTTTTTATTTTCTGCCTATTATAATTTCGCGGCAGGGTACTCCCCGGAAAGGACAATAGTGCGTTCGTTCCCCACCATAGACACCTGCTGTCCAGAGTTTTGCAAATATCTCAGCAACGTTGTGGCTGTATTTCGCTTAGTACCCTGCCGCAAAATTATAGTAGGCAGAAAATAAAAAGGTATAACATTGTGATTTCAACTACAGCCGCAGCTCAACTGGGTTTTATGCCGATTTGAGCGCCTCAGATCAATTCCGCTGACGGGTGATTGCTAGATAGATCGATAGAAATAGCTGAGAGACAGGCGAAACGAAGGACCCGCATGGTGTGGTGGTGAACGGGTTACTACCCGGAAAGGATAACAGCGCTTTCGTTACCCACCGCAGACACCTGCAGTCCGGAGTTTTGCAAATATCTCAGCATCACTGAAGTTATATTTCGCAATATACCCTACCATTAAAAAGAGTAGGCAGTAAATACTCATTTAAAATTGTGATTATAACTACGGCCTCAGCTTAACTGGATTCGTTGCCGATTTGGGCCCACCAAATCAATTCCGCTGACGGGTGATTGCTGATGGCAGAGATCGATAGAACTAGATGAGAGACAGGCGAAACGAAGGACCAGAATGGTATGGTGGTGAACGCGTTACTCATCGGAAAGGACAGTAGTGCGTTCGTTCCCCACTGCAGACACCTGCGATACGAAGTTTAGCAAGTATCTCAGCATTATTGAAGTTTATGTTAACCGTTTGGTGGTTTGCTGCAATCTATTAAAGCTTCCTGAATTAGGGTGAAATGAATACGGCGGGGCACATCCAAAGAATCGACGAAACACACCGGGAACTTCAACGGTTTCGACCTGCACTGGTCAGCAGAAATGAATTAATCCTTCATGACAACGCCCTGCGACGCGTCGTACAACAAAAGTTTGAAGAGCTTGAAGAAACAGAGAGCACTGCAAGAACTGGGTTACAAGGTCATTCATTACATATCTTACTCGTCGGATTTCTCGCACAGTGCTCCCACCTCTTCAAGTCTTTCGGCAAACTCCTATCCGAGAAATGCCTCGGAAACCAAGCGAAGGCCAAAACTCCTTACTACGACTTCATAACTTCTAGAACTTCTAAGTTTTAAGCAATAAGATTAAATAAACTTGTTTCTCTTCGGCAAATAAGTGTGGATTCTAGTGATTTTTATTCGAATTAATAAAGTATGTTCTCAGCTGAGATACACCACTTTATAGCTACAGCTTGAAAACTTACATTAAGATCCCAAACATTTTTGCAACACTTTTCGCTCTATACTTCGGTTTTTCTCTGCACATTATTGGTCATTTCTGTGTCCTCCATATATCATGTATCCTCAATGATCTACTATGTATTGTTACACGTTTTTGGGACATATCCAATTCTTATGTGATGAAAAAAACTCCGTCATCCAGCCACGTTTTTACCAATATAGCTTTGATACTAAGATAGCTCATCTTCACTGGTTGTACGAGCCCCGTACAATCTCCACATCTCAGGGTTCTGCTGGTTTAGTCATTGTAGTGTCCTAGTGTCCCAAGGTCAGCGTAGCCAAAGTCTACCTCAGGTCGTCATCACCACAGGAAGTCGCCGCCCTTGTGGATCAGAGGGAGATTTGTCACCACGCGACTAGATGATAGGACGGTGATGAATCCTGGTATTTGCTTACTCTCAGCTGGGCTTCCTGATAGAAACGCCGGACTCCTTCTCGGCTTGGGAGACCCAGTTGGTGGACGAATCCCCAGCTGTACATCGCAGCCCAACAACCAGGAACACCTCCCAACCACAATGAGGCGGTGAACCGTTGGGAGGTTTCGCCAATTTGTTACGGTTTTGTAAGATATGTGGAGTGTTTCTAAATTTTTCTTGCAAATTTTTTTCATTTGCCGATTCATGCAATAAACTTGAATCATCAGAGCGATTCGAAATGGAGTAACAATGACTAGTCAAAAATTGAATTTTATAAAGTTAAATTACGTCCGCAGCAGAAAAATTAAACCCCAGTTTAGACTGATTGCTTGTCGAGCGTGAATTGACAGGATTTCTTACGACACTGATCAGTGAGGAGTATGAAATGTATAGGGAAAAACTGACATGCGGACTTTGAAGGAACGAATCATGGGATGCCACAATTGTTGGAAATACACTAATTTTTTTACTTCTATTTTATTTGATCCGTCTCGACGTCTACTGTGCAGATCCCAGCACTTCTCACATCGAACTCTTTTCCTCGCATTCATCATCCACAAAGGTCTTCCGAGTTCTTACGTGTGGAATCGGTTACTGCTTGAGGATTTTCATTTCATTTTGAATGTCATAGAATGCTGGTCGAGCAATTCGCCGTGAAGTCCTGATATATGCGGGCTGGAGCATTCCCAGTTGTATTGCAAAGAGTGACTTTTTTCCCAGAGAAGTCCGGTACAAATTTCCCGACCCCGGATGGACGAAATGCTTGGTTGCCCCTGAGCGGAATCGAACTAGCACCACGCTTGTGATGACGGACATCACTACCACTGTGCTATCCGCCTCTCTGTGTTGGACATACTAGAAGATCCATTGACTTTTGCCTCTTACCTAACCTTCAAGGTCCTTTTTCTATTGTTCCATGATTTTTAAACATATCTTTGTGATGAAAAACTCATTCATCACCCAGTAATATTGATGTCATCCTCTGGTAGTCAGCCTTTCCGCGTATTCATTTCTATCCATTCCACATTATAAATGTATTCATCAGTGCAAATGCAAAGGACAAAAGAATCCACAATCGTTGAAGAGATCAAGATAACCATCAGTATCTTCCTTGAAATATGCAACGCTAGCCCTCCAAGACTGAGATATTAATTTAGATGCATCATTGCCGGCGACGTTCAATTCGATGGTTCGACAAAGATGAAGTTAATAGACACCTTCCAAAGCCGAATTTTTACCAAAATACGGTCAAAGTGACAGCCTGATGTTCTGTCTGTAAACGGATTAATTATTCAATATATTGAATTCAGAATAATCCCACAGTAGTGTTGTATCCTCACGAAATCGATAAGTAGCTTAGGTTTTTAAGTAGGTTACAGCACTGTAGACCATACAAGGTCCAGCTCTCCTTCACGACAGCAATCGAAGGCACTACATACAGCACAAGATAGCACCACGAACCCTTGCTTCTCCCATCATGCTCAATAGACCTCTCACGATGAATGCCACGTTTGCAGGCAAAAAAGCTTCAATAACTGCTAAAAATGTTTCCGATGCCCTCGAAAGAACTGCACCTTGCAGGATTCTCGAGTTACACTTTAGTGGAATAAACGAGACTGCTTTATGTTGGCTGAAATTGTAGACTCCAACGGTTCCTATGTCATTAATAAAGTATTTGAGCTGATTGGTAGGTTTTCAATGCTTTCTTTTAGATTACGCCATTATTTTTGCAAAAAACCAATAATATAATATAATACATACCTTTCTTAGATACATAAATGGTTTGTAATTTGACAGCAGAAAGTATAAAATCAAGTCTTTGTCAAATAATATGGACTCTTGCCTAAGAAAAAAAAAAGAAAAAGAAAAGGACCAAGGAGGGAGTTATCTATAACCGCAACGACTATTGAAATATACTGGACATCTAATTCCTAGAATAACTATACAAAAAAAACCCGCTTAACTAACGTCAGAGATGTTGTGACAACAAACTGTCAACAACTTACACCAGAAAGTTCCTCGCCAGTGATTGCCATTCGTTGGTAGTTGACATCCACTGCGTCCCTGCAGTAATGAAACATCAAAGAAGCCGGTTGTTTTGAAAACCAAAGCGATGGCGTATGATATCTACGTCATAACAAAAAAGAAACGCATTGAGCCCAATGCATATCGTGCAAAAAAAATGGTCTATTTGAGTTTAAACAAGCACTTCGCTGCTCATAATGGATCATTTTATATCAAATGGTAATCAATAGACTACACTGTTACCGTTCTTTTTTAATAATGAACAAGTTCACTTGTTCCAAAATGATAATCGCCATTTTCTGGAGTTCACGAAAAATATCTTTGCTTTTAAATAAATAATAATTGATAAATAAAAAATAATTCTTTGTAGCTTGTACTTCAGCCATCAAATCAACTGAACAAGGGGAATTTCGTCTAGAAGGAAACAACGGCGCGCCTCAATGTATCACTCGTTTTTATACCTACCAGATTTACGTTTAATACTTCAAAAAAATAAGATCTCATCTTCAATATTTTTGAAAGTTTGAATTCTAAACGAATTTAATACTGAAAGGACATTTTTCAAAATCTACATATAGCGTATAGTAATCTGTGCGTATAGTCTATGTAGTATAGCGTATCAGTACCAGGATCCACCACCGTCCTGATATCAAATTAGTCGCATGGTGGCAAACCTCCCATCTGATCCATAACGGCTACGACTATCTGGTGGTGAACACCTGAGGCAGACTTTGGCCAGGATGACGTCGGGATTCCAGGGAACCACAATGGCTTAAGCAGCAAATCTCCGAAAATGGAGATTACGCTAAGCCCGTAGAATAAATGAGGAGTGACCATTCAAGTAAGTAAGTATGCATAGCCTATGGCGACAAAGGAAAACCTCTTCTACAAATCTTTATTATTCTTAACTCCACAACCACTCCTGTGATAGAGAAATTACCATCAGTTATCGAAGAGCCAATTTTAGAACGAATGTATTACGGAAATGCCGACACTCACCTAAATGTATGCATCTCGACGAGCTGTGGACTTTTGCAGCGCACGTCCATCTTACTGGAAAAAACATCTGCTTTTGGAGAAAGGCATCCCTGGTCGTTCGCAGTTTCCAGACGAGCACTGCAAATAAAAAAAAAATAAGGAGGAATGAATCCAAATATCCACAACAGTAACACAAATAGCATGCAAAAAGAAGCACCAGAAACATAAAGATGGATTCGCTACTAAGCAACCGATTTTGCGTTTAACATCCTCCGAGGAAATCTTACGAGTGGCCGAAAGGAAACCATTCAGTTCTTTGGAAACCTCCCATTCGACGAATACGGTGTTCAGCCATACATTCTATATGCTGCAAGGGTCTTCAGCTTAAGATATGCATTTATCGCTGCCATGTTTTCCACATTAAACCTAAACAAGTACCCCACATTATCTCAGAGAACCCCTAACTAATTAGCTATTTACGCTAAAATGGAAGCGTGACGTACAATTCCCTAGTAATTTTAGATAAAAAAACGAAATGAAAAAACTGGAACTCTATCTGACAAAGTAAAACGGTCGGAGTTCATATATCTCTTGGGGATGGGCCACGAATTCGACTACATTAGGCATAGCAGAATGGAGTGGATATTTCCCCTGTAAAATGACTCTCAGCGACCTACAGATGTATCGAGTCGATCTTCCTCTTTCTAAATGCTTTTTTGTTTTGTTCATTTTCAAGAATGTCGCTGAATCAAAAGCTCGAGTTGGTCGAATTGATGATTCTTTGTGTAACCATGGGAAAGCCACAAAGTTGCTGAGATATTTGCAAAACTGGGAAACCAGGGCTAGCTTCGAACGTACGATTAACCATTTCGCAACATACCCTGCCATTAAAAAGGAATAGGCAGTAAATAAAAAGACTAAGATTGTGATTATAACTAATCCCCCAGCTTAACTGGGTGCAATGCCGGTTTGGACTCCCCAAATTAATGCCGTTGACGGGTGATTGCCGGCGGCAAGTGATCGATAGAACTAACTGAGAGACAGGCGAAACAAAGGACCCGCATGGTGTGGTGGTGAACGCGTTACTTCCCGAAAAGGACAGTAACGCGTTCGTTCCCCACTGCAGACACCCGTGGTCCGGAGTTTTGCAAATATCTCAGCATTATAAAACTTAAACGTTGTATTAAAGGGCCATACGGTCTTTGTGATGATCTTAAATCTAATTAACAAAACCAATCACTAGTTTACAAATACACTGGACGGTAATGTCGTGCACGGCTAGTCGTATTAAATCCATAGACCAATCCAATCCATAATCCATACATAGACCAACCCAAAAGTCATAGAATAAACATAATATCATTTGTATGTTTCTACATGATATCGATGCCATTATTCTTCATCAAATCTATGGAAAGCGGTGATGGAACCACCGCTAAATACAAAATTTGCACTACTACTAGTGAAAACCACTGGTTTCACAAAAGCGTTAGAAACACTACAATTTCGGTAATTATAGGACCACTTCCAAGACCTATCACCGTCCTGGTATCAAAATAGTCGCATGGTGGCAAACCTCACTCTGATCCACAAAGGCAGTAACTACCTGTGGTGGCGACGACCTGGGACAAACTTTGGACAAGCTGACCTAAGCACTCCAGGAAACCGCAATGGCTAAACCAGCAAGACTCCGAAAAATGGTGATCACGCTGGATCCCGCACAACCAGTGAGGACGGGCCATCCAAGTAAGTAACCAAGTAATTACAGGATTATACCTAGCCCAAAACGAAACAGGTGCAAGAAGAGCCTAAAACGAAACCAGTGCAAAAAAGTTTCACAAGAGCACAATACAATAATAATGATAGCTGTGATAACAGTGATAGTGAATTAAAAAACCCACAGACAAGACCATCGACGGTTTTGCTTCCTGAGGGAAAAATGTACAACAGGACTACAAAAACAATGAAGACTTTAATTACTTTGATTAGACTTGTACGGGCGGTAGGTAACAAGTTTTGAATAAACTTCAAATATGGTATATCAAGACCCCAACGTTTTACCACCTCATCGTGGCTGGAAGGTGTTGGGCTGCGGTGTACAGTAGAGGGATTTATCTTCACAGCTGGACCTCCTAGGCCCGGCGTTTCCATCAGGAAGCCCACCTAAGAGTTAATCAATACCAGGATCCCCCACCGTACTAGCATCAAGCTAGTCCCGTGGTGGCAAATCTCTCTTTGATCCACAAAGGTGGTGACTGCCGGTGGTGGCGATGACCTGGGGCACACTTTGGCTAGGCTGACCTCGGAACTCCAGGGAAACAATGGCTAAACCAGCAAAACTCCGAAAAAATGGAAATTATGCTGAGACCCGCATGACTAGTGAAGACGGGCCATCCAAGTAGGTAAGTTCAAGATGACCGGAATTCATGATCTAGCCTAGTAAGCCCAGCTGGACCTCCTAGGGCAGTGATTAAGTAGCATTCGGCCATACAGGGGACGACGTAAACGCCATTAATTTTGGTTTATGTGTGACTGCATCAGTTACGGGTGAGAACCGATGACTATCTGAGTAGTTGAGTAACTGGAGATTTACAAATCTTACAAAGATAAATAAAATGTAGAATATGGAGTCATACTCGGAGGGAGTATATTAGCGGGCTTAGCAACGACAACCTGCTAACGAACGTAGCATATACAGCTAATACACATTTTGATAAACAGGCCACATTCTCCTTAAATTGGTTGTGCTAACACATAAACAGAAAGATCACACGTCAGGTCAGAAACGACGGAAGAACTTCCGATTAAATTAAAACCCTGATTTTATTAAATAAATAAGAAGATACCAAAACAGCTCCACACTTCACCATGATCTAGGAAGTTCACTTGAATTCGCTGTTGAAATCATATTTGCCAAAAACCCAAAGATATTGTTGAGAACTGTTACATGGAGCAGATATCGATGAGAAACCATAGATACGTCAGAGTTTTTGGTGTAGAATAACTATTGAATGATGTAACGCACCGATTCTGGATTTCCATCGTGCGTTGCTTTCGACTTTCATTGACTTCAATTGGTGTGTTCGAAATCTCGTACGGTTGATTTCCATGATTCGCGAATCCATCCAGTGCATAGGATGGACGAAACGGACCAGCATCAAACACTTCACTATCCACAGCTCCTTGAATGCGAAATCTTAGGAAACTCGACAACGATATCCTTGTAAATGAGCGTGCACTATACACATTTAATAGCATGGACTACTGACTTCAAGGCATCAGAAACGATTACTACAACACGATTACACAACATAATGCTCACCCAAACGACCTTCATTGAAGGAAGAATCTAAATAGGAAACATTTAGTGATCTGGAATGAAAACAAGCAAACGTTGAAACCACTCCAAAATCAGAGATAAAAATGATTACGTAACGTTAGAGTTCAGCCTGTCAGATTCTACATATCTCGCCAATTTGAACCGCGCTGGTAAGCGCCTACATGAAGAGAGAAATTGTTTCCACACTGTCTTTTTCTTCTAGTTTCTATGTTCCTCCCAACGGCTTACTGCCTCATAGTGTATTGCAGGTGTTCCTGGGTGTCGGGCTGCGCTGTACAGCGGGGGACTTATCCCTCCAGCAGAGTCTCCCAAGCAGAGAAGGAATTCCGCGTTTCCATCTCAGGAAACCCAACTAAGAGTAAACCAACACCAGAATTCACTACCGGGCAGGTATCAAATTAGTCGCATGGTGACAAATCTCCCTCTGATCAACAAGGGCGGCGACAGCCTGTAGTGGTAACGACGTGGGGCAGAATTTGGCCTGGCTAACCTCGGGACTCCAGGGAACCACGATAGCTAAGCCAGGAAAACTCCGAGACAATGGAAATTGTACTGGGGTCCGCACAACGAGTGAAGATGGGCCACCAAAGAATCCAAGTTTCTGTATTTTAGTAGATGGCAAAACAAAAAAGGGTAGATAGAACTTTTGAGTAGCGGACAAAGCCATGAAGATAAAAGGTAGCGTACTGCGTTCCTCGCTCAGCAACGAAAATATTGTGGCCACCTGCTAACCGTCGGCAAAAGAATCCTTTGTCAATTAATTGCTCATCATAGTCCAAAAGAAGAATTTAAAACTACAACCAGGTATCACAATGTTTTAGCTTTTCATTTCTACCTACTACAATTTTCACGGTAGGGCACTAAGCGAAATGCAACCACAACGTTGCTGAGATATCAGCATAACTGGGTTCAATGCCGATGTGGGCTCTCCAGATCAATCCCGTTGACGGGTGATTGCTGATGGCGCTGATCGATAGAACTAGCTGAGAGACAGGCGAAACGAAGGGCCCGCATGGTGTGGTGATGAACGCGTTACTCCCCGGAAAGTACAATGGTGCGTTCGTTCCCCACCATAGACACCTGCGGTCAATAGTTTTGCAAATATCTTAGCAACGCTGCGGTTGTACAACCAGATATTTTAAAAAACGAACAATGTTTTGAACACATCAATAACGAACCTTCTAAGCTGCTAGAACTTAAATGACGACTACTTCTGCGAAACTCGCTAGATGTACAAGAACGCCTGTGAAGGTGAGGTTATTGATGATAAGAATTAAATTACATGTGGTTATGAACGCTTAGTATTAAGAATGAAAGAACTCCTATATACCCTAGTTTCCAAGATGACATGACGCTCAAAGGAAAAAAACAATCACAATCAATCAGCAAATCACAATCAATTAGGAGAAAAAATTAGGAGGATTAAATCAATCAATCAATCACAATTTTTAGCAATCACTACTTGGTCCCATTCACTATTAGACATAGGACCGTGCTGGATACAACGAAGAATTTATTGAAGTACAATCATACTCCAGAGTGAGGATAGCAATAGTGATGCCGCTCATCACAACCACGGGTACGGTTCAACCTTGCTCCAGGCCCACCAATCCTTTCTCCTTCGATAGTCGGGAAGCAGAAATGCCTGCGAACGGTTCACCCCCCTGCAGTACAACTGAGAACTCTCTCGCCTAGCATTCCCAAAATTCCAAAGAGAATAGAATCGACTCCACAAGCATTCAACCACATTCATAATGAAGTTCAAAATCCTCAAATAACAGCCGAACCCAAGGCGCGAAAAGTTCGAAAACTTTCGTAAACGATGAATGAGAGGAAACGAGTTAAATGTAACAAGCATTACGATCGGCACAGAAGTGAAGACATGTCGTATAAAATGTTATTTAAAAAAACCACACTTTAAGTATTACGAAAAGATAGAAGACAAAGTACTCCCGTCAGATGCTGCGATGACTGAAATAACCGAACCGTAAGGCATTTTGGCTTCAATTCATCATCTTCACTGTATTTTATCCCGTACAATACGTCCCCCAATAACTGTTGAAAATAAGCTGTACTATCTTTGTCCTTTAAAATTCAATGGGCTCCTTTAACAAAACATCTCAAAACATCTTTTTCACTTATTTTTTACTTCTCATCTAAGTGAAACGTAAACAGACAGCTTCATTGTCATTCAAAATTTACTATCACGTTTCTGACATCCTTCTAATCAGAATTGAAGAGTCGGGCTATTCTGTAAACCAGCAGCTAAGACCTTATGCATTGAATACTAAAATTTCCGATGCAATAAAGAATGACAAAGTACAAATGATAAAGCTCTCGGCGTTGATCAATCCGTGATGGATGCGCCATGCATTCGATTTCATTAACTATCGTTGAAGGTGACTGAATGCATATTTGGCCTTTACAATGACTAGCGGCGGTATACTGATGTACCGAATTCGTGCCGCTGTCCTCTCAGACAGGTCTGGTACCAAATCGCCGACTCCGGAGAGATGAAAGGCTTAGTGAGACTGACGCGAGGGACCGAACCCGTGTGTATTGTTGGGCACCTCTAACCACTGTGTTATACTCTCCTTTAGAAATAATAATAGGCTATAAATTAAACATCAGGAAAACAATAGGATACTTTGATGACTAGCTCAAAAAGCTCCATAGAAACAACATTTTAAGATTTCTTTAAACTGTGTAGATGTGGCTGAACAAACGATATTAAACCTCGTTACCTCGAATTTGTTTGTGCTCGATTATTCTTCTCCCAAAGCGTAGCAACCTTGTGTGGTTTACGTGAGCTGTACTGATAAGCTGAATCACATGGATCCTTCGTGTTCGGTCTTTTGGATTTCCATATTTCCCGCTTAGGTAATGACCTATCACTTTGCGTACTCTGCTCAGAAATCTTCGCCGACGAAATTTTAGGTTTGCTCTGTGATGGGACTGATAAGAATCCAGTACCCATCTCACAAACTCCATTCAAAGCAGTTTTATTATTGCTCTTTGAAGAATTCGAACGTGAATGCGACGAGGGTTTTGAGGTTTTCCCTGTATCATGCAATAAACTTGATTTACTTCCTTCACATTTAGCTTGAGATTTTTGAGCAGAATTTTGTGAAGCATTTTGAACAACTTTTGGTTGATTACTCCGAACTCCATCAGATTTCAAGTCACACACAGACAACGGCTTCGAAGTAGCACTAAAATTTTTGTTCTTCCCTTGTGTGCTCCGTTTTTGTTTTTGCATAACGAACTGCTCTGTGCTTGGTTATTGTTGCGAGTCTCGAACTTTTGGCTGCTGAAAATTCACCAGTGCTTACGTTTAACAAATTTAAACAAGCTTAGTTTGAAAGACATTGGGCATACATTACTGGAATCTTCTGCTTGACGTCCACTTCTCTTCAAACTGAACGAAATGGATTTTTCGGACTGCTTGTTAGTTGCTTTTCACTATGACGCCTCTAATATAAATTCGTTTAATTCACACGTTCCCTCATGTAGCATGTATAGCCTTTTACGGTAGTCCAATTTTGAAGGAATTCTATAGAAGAACTCGTCCGACAACAAACCGCACTGCTGTCAGGATTTCGTAGTTATTAAAATAAGAAAAACATATCTCTGTGTTTCATCTATGTTTTTTGTATTCACCAATTTTACACAATAAAAACTATTCAACATAGCGATGGAAATGAAATAACAACCAGTTCCTTACTAAAAATTGGACGTCACCTGCCTCACTGACGAGCTATTTTAGTTTTTTGAAAATTCCAGATAATTTCTTTTCGAACAAATTACTTGAGCAGTTAAGAACTTGAAATTGTCATAGAAGACAAAAGGTCCCTCATTCCATATATGTATACATATATTTATATATATATATATATATGGGGCGCGTGTAGTGCAGTGGTTGGAGGCGCCCTGCAACTCACACATGGAATTGATCCACTCGCCTATCAAGCCTTCCATCCCTCCGGGTCGGCAAATTGGTACCAGACTTGTCTGGGAATATAGCAGTACTGGCTCGATACATCGGTAAGTCACCGGGAGTCGTTGTAAAGGCCAGATATGCATTCAATCACCTCCAAACGATGCTTAATGACGTCGAGTGCATGGCGCATCTCTCAAAGATTGATCAACACCGGGAGCTTTATCCTTATATATATATACATATATATGTATATATATACATATACTAATATACATATGTGATTACAAATGTATGCATATGTGTACGTATATATGCTACTAATATATTCCTTCATTTCACACGGTGATCACGATGTCAGAAAAACATGGTGAACATTTGTGAATCTCCTTTCCGTGGAGGGACTATTGCAAAAGTATCCAAAAGCTAACAGTAAATAACATCAAGGTCTACGTTAGTTTATGTTTGATTCAGAAAGATAGTTTGCCTGTGGCTGCAGCTTCGGTGAATCATATCTTTGAAGTGCCTCAAAAAACATGAAGGCGTTATTTATACGTTCTTATGAACTGATCTTGTTGAGCTGATGCGAGGTTGGCATAAGTTGTCGTTGTTGCTGTTGGTCGATGGCTGATGTTTCCTCATAGCTCACCCTCGCAACACTATTGTTCCGAGGAAGGCAAGATTTTCGAAAAGCCGACCATAGACTAACAACGAAAACAACAACAACAACAACGACGACAGCTTATGCAAACCTCACATCAGCTCAACAAGATCAGTTTATAATAACATATAAATGTATAACATATAAAAAATATATGAATTATCGATTATTCATGCCGAAGTCGGTCCTTTGAGTTATAAAGCCGTTGTTTTGGCTAATATAAAATACTAGCAAGAACTCAGAATTCTAAATCAGATCGATTATATACGAGGGCGTTAGCACTGGATGCAGTTAAAAGACAAAGGATAAAGCTCTCAGCATTGATCAATCCCTGAGAAATGCGCCATACATTCAACTTCATTAAACCTCGTTTAGAGGTGACTGAATGCATATGTGGCGTTTACAATGGACTCGCGGTGGCCTACCAATGCATCCAACCAATGCTGCTAGTTTCCCAGACAAGTCTGGTACCAATGTGCCGACCCCGGAGACATGGAAGACTTGGTGAACCGCCGGAGCAGGGATCGATCCCATGTGTATTGCAGGGCGCCTTCGACCACAGCGCTACACACGCCGATTAGGATTATGGAAGACAGATTATATAGAAACAGTCTGATGAACGTTTACTCCGTCCGCAGACAGTACTTCTGGCGAAGCGTCGTGTACAACTACATACCTATACATATATCCTCAATGACTTGGTATTTTGTAGTACCAAGAATGCTAGTACGAAAACAGTAGTACTCAGATGCTTCTGTTCACTCCACAATAGTGATTATCTCTATATACTGTTCTACAGCCAACGCACGGGACAGCATGTGGTTGACAAGCTACACAATGATTAGAGGAATTGCTGCATGAAAATTCTTTCATTAAAAAGGAAGGTAAATGACCTAAATAAGAGTCCTACCATTTACAATGTCCCGTAAAGTATGACTCTATATGACGTCGCGCCGTCGCCTATGTGCTAAAAAACGGTGGCTCCACCTATACTTAGCACTGTTAAGCCATCCCATTGTTCAAGCTTATGGAAAAGGAACTCCCTTTTCTCAAAAAAAATTCTTACTTCCCATTGTATAGTTGTAGCAAAAGGTTATCAACAAGAATACAGAACTTTAAAGCTTTCAAATTGATAGTATAAATAAAATGCGACTAACTCAGTGAACAGCTCTTTAGCGATTCCAGCGGGTCGATTAAGTTCAGTGAATCTACAGCCTTTGATGAAGACTCTTCTGCCTGCTCGTCTTCCACTTCTATCGGATTAAAAAAGTTGACGCCGTTAGTAGACGTCGGCATATCTGAAATGACAGATGGTATCAAAAGATCCTAGTACAGTAGTATGTAGGGTTCATTTCGACATGTACAGAATGCCGGTTGCTATAAATGATAACATAGCAGTATGGAACCAAAAGAACAAGAACCAAGAAGAACAGCAGCATGGAATGGAACCGTGGTGTTATTTAAAAGAAATAAACTCATCCACCAATTTATCTGAATTTCTGAATGTTATAATTGACAAAAAGAATTTTCCGAGTTTGTTCAGTCGGGAGGGCGCGCCTATATGTGCGTCGAAACGCAACGGCCAGATTCTGAACACCTTCGTTGCCAGGATACTAACACTAACACATCGAGATGTTATTTATTCCATTAAGGATTCCATCACAGCCGATTCCAACCAGCTATTACGCCCAGGCGCAAACCATCCTTTACTAAGAACACTTAACAATCACGGCACCATAAAAACTCGGAATGCACCAACGAAGACAATAAACGTAAAATTTAGGCTTCGACACCAAGAAGTAAACATAGACTTAAGCCGAAAAACGCGAAAACATTTGGAACATCTGGAACAGAACACCGTTACTGACTCATAACGCCAGGGCCATCTTCAACCTCGTTATCACGCGTGATATTGGGCAGTATACAAGTCTGCTATTTTGATGAGATGGGCACAATACAATTCCGTGTGAACTCTGTGCGGTTGGTCTCCACGTGACATATTTAGTGGAAGACTCATAGAAAGCGGTGAGTGTGCAAAGACTCTGTGTTCAATGTGATTGAAATTTTGGTTCAGCATTTTCTCTGTTTGGCTATGGAGGTGTTTGGCCGTGTAGATTGTAGTCAACTTGACCTTTCCAGGCTCTGAAGAAGGCGAAATCCGCCGAAACGTCAGCTTTTATGTAAATAAAGAAATAAAGTAACATCTCGTATTTGCTGAACAGAAGTACAAAGAACTAACTGCATAGACATCTCACTGCTTTGTCGCTGATATCGCCGATAAGAAAAATCTTGTTTTACTTCCTTTCAAAAGAAAGCATGCTCTAATTACAACTTCCAGACTTAGACGTCTAATCGATGACGTAAGTACGATAGAATTAGGCTGTTTTTAAAAACATCTTCCGGTGTTTAACATCGAAGAGCACAACACAAAAGACCTCTACTTATAATCAACGTTATTAATTGCAATAGGAACCTATAGAATTCACAAAACTTCGCCAGTAAGATCCAGAGACTATGCTACTCATTCAAGGCGAAAGTCTGATATTGTGAATCCGAAGGAACGTTCGTTTTTCGTCAAAGCCTCATGAAATCAACTGAAGAAGCGAAATTTCGTCCACTACGATATGTCTGTGTCCCCCCCCCCCCCTCTCATGTATGGTTGATGCTGGCGGTTGCCATTGCGGCGCTAGGTATTTACGAAATCCAAATTCTATTTTCAACTGCTTGACAGTTTCAATTCTAAAGGAATTTAAAACTGAAGGAATATTTTATAAAGGATGTATGCACGCCTGAGGTAATGAAGTAATGTGGATTTCCCAACTCAAGTACTCCACTGATGGAGAAATGGTCGTCAGTTGTGGAATGTCGAAAACAGGCACGGCGAAATAACTGCTGTACAGCCATAACTCACTCCACTATTTGCACATGAATCAATGAACGATTCCCTCGACATCGATAACTGGTGGTGACAACGATAAATCGAGCCCCAGCCAGGCCATCATCGACAGTGAAATGTCGTTGTTCCAGGTATTCTAGCCGCCACCCCGTTTATGGTTGAAATATCTTTTCCTGAACGGTGATTATGACATGTTATCGGTCAGTTCGAATACATCTTTATTAATCAGAAGATGGACCACTAGAATCCACATGTTCACATTTATAAAAGCTCATCCATCCGGTGAACATAGAATTCTGGAGTTCTGATAACTAAGAATTCTTTTTAAGACATGTTCCGCCACAATTTAGCTCCTCAGAGGACTTTTACAGCTATTAATCTTCATGTTGTTTGAAAAAGAGAGGCAACAAGCCAGCGAGAAGTCAGAGAAGCTGAGATAATGCGTTCGATACTCGTTGAGAGTTTGTGATGGCACTCATCTATTGAGCTATCTCACCTCTCCATTGTCTTTAAAATGATGAATGGTTCCTTTTTCAAGCTCTTAAGCAGGTAATTGAGGATCTCTGAGTCATCTCTGACTAAAGTCTTCAGATTATCATCGTCAGCTGCTCATGTGCATTTTTGAACTTCTCAGTTTCGAAGTTTCATATCTACTGCAAGAAACCCTGCGAACCGTTTGTAGTACCAAATAGACGAAAGCTGTTTTTCGGATCAGGGCCTTGATGGCACTTCGTGTTGCTATTGATGTGGCACTGGCATGTTTGAGCTTATCAAATTAAACGTTTTGAACTTGTAGCTTCGTGATCATCACTCCAAAAACCACTATAAATTGCATGTTTGGTGAAAAACAATGCAAAGTAACTGGACGAAAAAAACCGTTAAAATAGAATGAAAACAATGTGAACAACAAGTGTTTAGGAATTTCGTGACGAAGAAAATCACCTATCACCCAACGACTAACGGCACATAGGAAATTCGAAATCGGTTAACCCCGTGGCTGCACAGGAATTTACCAACTGGTGGGTAGGATACGAGTAGGAAGCGAAAGCGACTATGTACTTGCTCCATGTGTGGATTCATAGGATGAAACGTATGTATGCATTGCCGTGTTGACTTCTAACATCCCTACGAATGTAAACATAATCATAAATGGTTCGTGTACCTTCATGTATGCACATAACATGCTAAACGTCGATTCCATCAAAAGCTTACAACCAGATAAGTCGAAAGTACACCAGAAACAGCTTAGAGCCACATCTAACAGATAATCCCAAGATCTTAGAATGAGCTCTACAAACAAACGGAAGCAGCAAGCAGCGCTTAGTACACCAAAGTAGATTCGGACATGAGTCTGATTTGAAAACACACATCGTTTTCGCTGAAGCAGAAGAGCTCACTGTGTGGTGACATGCGATAGAGATGAAGGCTTTGTTGATGCCCATTTGAAGTACTTCATGATGTGAACACAGTTGATATTCCAAGTTTCAGCGCCACAAAACTGTGTAGTTACAATGGACTAGTTTATCCAACGAACAGAAGTAGTCCAAGTCTTTCGTTGAACCAGTTTGGTTCAGAGAAAGAGTAGTGGATCACGAGTGCAAAAAAGACTTAGCTTAGAAGAAAGAACAAGCATAACTAGCAAATAATTAAGGATTTATAGGGTCGTTATAAATTCTATCCACAACATTCCATGTTTTTAGAGAATCGTGACTCTGCTAATTCACAGATGAAGTAAATTTAATAACAATCTGAAGAGTTCAACACGGTTTAAAACTTGTAGAGGAAACATCTGTAGTCTTAAGTAGCTAAATAAGCACTCACACCGACGGTCACCAACACACGTGCCACTTTCGAAAGTGCAATGAGAGCTACCACCGCCATCTGTTTTCAAGTATCAACAGCTATGACTCATGACGAAAATAAAGAAAACCGCTTCAACAATTGGTGTCATCGCGTAGATTATGATAAATGGGACAATATAAGCCAGTATCAAAAGATGACACATCGGATACTAAGCTGGGTTTGGAGCAGATCAGATCATAACGTAGTGCCGTGTTCCAGACTTGGATGACTACGCGATGAGTTAGATGATCGCCCACCACCTACCGTCATTCATGTTGCTCTACTTCGTAAGAACAGCCCGAAGATTGGTGTCGGTCTTTTCCGGGCTCTATTCATTTCCTTATCTGTATTTTTTGAATTTGACTGGTATAACCATGAGGAAGGGGTCGACATTGTAGCATTTGTTGGGTTGTTGCTTTTCACTTTCTTTGGCACTGCTATTCGCTCGCATGTAGCTGGTGAGATAAAGTCGGGCCAGGCGAAACATCTTGTTCCATTTATTAATGGATAGTATCATTGAGTAACGCAAAAAAAGGCGACATTACATGCATTAAAACAACTGTGGAAAACATTAAACCCAGTAATAAATGCCACAATATGAAGGATACGTGAGCTTTTGATACTAACGCTTTCGTGACAATTAGTTTCTACAAAACAGAAAGTACAGCTCTAGTCCTCTGATTATAACCTGCTGGTTTGTCTAGTGAGAGCACTAATGAAGCGGAAATAGAGACATCATGCACTGCCGCAGTTAGAAAATTACTTTGGTTCTGCAGCCATAATGAACAACAATAAAGTGCAAAAGTCAAGATAAAAATCGTGACAGAAAGAAACACGAGAAATAAGTAAGAGAAATGTTAGATTAGTGAAACAACTATGAAATCTCGGCTATAGGCCTGTGATTATGACGGGTGTATGCTTCGAAACACGTCGTTTCCCAGACAAACAGAACATCTTTCGTGCTAACCTTCATAATTTTTAGTCATCTGTAACCCAGCTAATCAAAGAGTGACTTGAGAGGGCACTAGTAGTTCCCCTTTGTTCCCGTCGTACAATCTCGTTGTCTGTGTTAATTCGGTGGATGTAAACAGAACCACACATTTTTCATGCGATATCCTTTACTTTTATTGTTCTGGGCAAGCGGATGCCACTGGAATGTCAGTAGGATCTGGTTGATGGGCTTGGTATGCACATTGGTAGCAGGATATCCCAACCTTATATGTAATATTTTTCGGCCACTTGTTTAAATGTTTTATGTGAGGTTTTAAACTCTGCGAGTCGACGAAGCATCAAAAAGTCGTGTATCGTAACAGCTGTGGTCAGCAGACTTGAAGTTGGCGATGTCTTCGAAAAGTCGGCTATAACGAAAATTTGCCTCCAACAATAAGCAAGTTAATCAGTAAATTTTCCTTATACGACCCGTTTTTCCTTTATACTCTGTGGATCCTAAAACTCCTCCCATACCATTCGTTTTCTCACATCCATCATCCAGCAGGATCTGCCAACTTTTTGCGTATCAGTTCGGCTGTTGCCTGGGATTTCGTTTTCGTTTTGAATGTCGTTGAAGCGTAGTCGAGTCGATTCTTCTTGGAATGCTGAGATAGCCGGGCTAGAGCGTTTCCAGCTGAACCAATAAATAGGCAAGTTAAAAACGTTTTAATCTAGAACATATTTAAGAGTAGTATCATAGCTCAATATAAAAATCTAAGGGTTCCAAAGATTTCGCGTTTTCACCAGTATTACAAACCGTTTACAGTGAAATTCTTTGCATCCTATTTCTACTGAAATGACGTACGTGCCCATTTGTTGGGTAAAACAGTTCTTTCAGCCCAGCAATTCTGAACTACGCATCTGCTCTATGAACACAACTGTGCAACTATTCTAAGTGAAATACAACCAAGATGATGCTGAGATATTTGCAAAACTCCGGACCGCATGTGTCTGCAGTGAGGAATGAACGCGTTATTATCCTTTCCGGGGGCTAACGCGTTCACGACCATACCATGCGGGTTGTTCGCTTCGCCCGTCTCTCAACTAGTTTTCTATCGAACACTGCCATATTTCATATGATACTCTGCCGTGAAAAATTGTAGTAGGCAGTAAATAAAAAGGTTAAGATCATTCTAAGTTATTTACTATCCCATCGTAGAGAAGGCCGAGTGCATGACCGCCACAGCAGAGGTACTCTGCAACACCCATGTGGTATGTGATAGATGGTACGATCGCGTGCCTCAAACCAATCAAGACCATCATTCCTTCATGGGTGTCAAACAGGTACCAAACACGTATAGAAGGATAAAAACACTTTCTTGCTGCTACATCGATGGATTCCCGCAAGTGGCTATATTGGCCGAATATGCATTGAAACACTTCTACAATACACAATAGAGTCGAAATGCACGACATATCATTAAGGAATCATTACCATTATCATCATTATCATTATCATCATTATCATTATCATTAATATCAGAATATCATTTTTAGAAGAAAATAACAACAAGACACGTATGTATCCAAAATCGATATACATTTCAACCATTACCTGAACATCTTTGGCATGATGAACAAATAATGCATAAGTTTATGCCACTGAGTTATAATTACTACATTTTAACAAGTTTCAACTAAAGCCAACTATCAAGTTGTTCGGAGACATAGAAAACTTTCGTTGAGGTACACGTTGAGGAACACTCGACTAATAACACTGTGTGAAGGTTAAGTAAAAAAGGATAAAGCTCTCGGCGATGATCAATCCCTGAGGGATGCGCAATGCCTTCGACTTCATTAAGCATCGTTGGAGGAGATTGAATCCATATCTAACCTTTCCAATGACTCGCGGTGGCCTACGTAGTGCTGCTATTCACCCCTACAAGTCTGGCACTAATTTGCCGACCTCGGAGGGACGGAAGACATGAGCCTGGGGTGCGCGGATCGATCCCACGTGTGTTGCAGGGCGCCTCCGATTACTGCGCTACGCGAGTGTTAAGTACTACTCATTGTATTAAAACGCTACTGGTTACAAAAGATAAGTAGGAGATGCAGCGTACAGGCGATAGCAAGAATCATAGGCAGTCGTCACAGGGTTGAATCTGCACGCAACGAAAATCGAAATTGTGAGTATCACAGAGGGAATGAAGTTGTCAACATAAGGGCAAACGTCTTTAAGAAAAGTGAAAAACATTGATAGCTTAAAAGCCTTATGAACGCAGATGCTACCATAGACGGCATTACACTCGGGAAAGAAACGGCTTTGATTGGACAAAGTAGAGAGGGTACGCAAGGATCTTTCGCATCGAAATGTCTTCAAACACTTTTGATAAACACTCCAGACCGAGCTGTCGGCGGTAAGGATCGATCGTCATTACCCTTTCCGGGGGCTAACGCTATTGCTGATATCACCCAGAAGTCAGAAAACGACTGAGACAAAGGCGAAACGAAGGACGAGTATGGTGTGGTGGTGAATAGGGTGATAGCGTGTTCGGTTCCTACATCGACATCAGCGGTCCGGAGTTGGAGATATCTCAGCATCACTATGGTTATATTTCACATAATATCTTGCCATTAAAAACGAATATGCACTAAGTAAAACGTGACGACTTTTGGTAAACATCTTTTATGCATGAAGGGAGATGCTGGTGGTGATGAAAGGGAACGAATGCTTGGATATTGCGGAGATGAACAATGTCAAAAGGAAAGGATGATTTGCCTGCACAAAGTGCAGAACAGTGATGATTTTCGAGTTGTGGAACAGAAAGACCAGACCAAGACAAGCACACGGGCGCAACGACTACGGGAGAATGGTTTGATAACCGACCAGACAATCAGAGTAGCGTCATAGAAAGGCTTTAAAGACGTGGACATACGAAATCACTAAAAGATACGAATCCACCAAGTCAGGCTAGCGAACCCTGTGACGATACGGGGAACAAATGCTAAGCAGAAGATTCCGCAACTTATATGACGACACTGACTAGCGCAGAAAACGTGACCGTTGGATTTGTCACAGAACTGTGAATGAAGGATAATATCTTCCGCATTAAAAGAAAAGCAATGCGTCTCTCTAGCACTACAGAAATCAAGATGATCTGTTACTTTCCTTAGCTTCTACGTTCACTCGTGAACAGCATGGTAAGAGAATCCGCTCTAACCAATGATTTTTCCTAACACAGACCACAAATTCCAGAAAAATCTTGCTCTCGGAAAACTCATAGGGTAACGTAGAAGAAAGAAGAAGTAAGGAAAAGCAAAAGATGTGATCTAGCTTTACAATATCGTTTAGAAGAAGTTCATCGAATAGGTCAGTCAGTCTTAGTCGATGACTACTTCTTCGTCTGGACTCCTTAAAATGCTGGAATTGGCGAGTCTTAGTCGATGACTGCCTCTTCGTCTAGGCTGCTTAAAATCCTGAAGTTCGTCAGCCAGTCTTAGTCGATGACTGCCTCTTCGTCTAGGCTGCTTAAAATCCTGAA